TCCCCACTTTTCCTGATTGTGCCCCTTCCAGTGCTCGTGGCAGATCTGTGTCCAGAGGCCAATTGCCAGGCTTTCACTGCTCTGGATAAACCTTCAGCAATTAAAAGACCCTGTTCCAGAATGACACCTCTTTTTGTTGGTGGTGTTCCAGTAGTTGAACGATCTAATCCCCCCAACCTTTTAACCTGCCTTCCCCACCTTCTCCCCCTTCTTTTTAATTGGAACTACTGGCCCCAGGCAATGAGAATGAAAGTAAATGAGCTGTGAATGAACTGAATCTTCCCCTACCCACCCCCCAAAATTGCAATTTAATAACAAACGTTCAGCCACTGTGTGCTTACCTCCCTCTTATTAAAAGGACAGACTCTTGGTGCAGACTAGGGAGAAGCATAGCATATATCAGATCTGGGTGATAAACTCCATCTCCAATTGAATGAAAATGTAGTCATTAGCATAAGATTGCTTCTCTTTCTAGCAGGGCCATCCTAGCTGGATATATGCTTCTTACAAAGGGTCTTGGGAGGAATGCTCAGGAAACCGTTACCCCTAGAAGATTTTAAAACATGTTTGTTATCCCTTATCCCACCGCCCCCACTTGCCTTAAGAGTTTGTGTGAAATCATTTAAGCTGTGGGTGCTGCCTGGGGTTTGGAAGGCTGTGCCATACCTGATGCTGCTGGGTTGGACTATCTCAAGAACGCCTCTTTGGGATGGTCTCAGTCCGCAAGGCAGGTCTCAGACAAGTGTCTCTGATCTTCCCACACTCTGCTAAGCTTAGGCATTAGCATCAGTAACATTTGCCCACCTGAGCAGCACCCAGGCTTCCCACCAAGTCTTCTCCGTCTGTCACAGTGCAGGAGGATGTCGCAGTCGTTGCAGAGTGATACTTACCAATGGGAGGGAACTTCCCTTTATCCCCACCCTCAAGTCACAGTAAATTAATTTAGTGAGAACTTGAGGGCAGGTAGACAAAAGAAATAGTGTAAGTTGTACCTATTTATATTGCGTAAACAACATTCATAACAGTAAAGGAAATAAAAGAAAATTGTCTCTGATAGTTCTTTAACCAAAATGTATCTATTTTTATTATCTCTGTTTCCTTCTGATCTTTATCTAATTGTATAAATATTTTTGCCAGCAGTAATTGTAGTATAGATAGCATTTTTGTAATGGTCTTTCATTTAACATTCCATAAGATGTTTTTCCATGTTTCTACATGGTTTTTAAATTATACTTTTAATGACTACAACATTATGATGTATCATTATACTTTATGCCCCATTGTTGAATATTTACATTTTTTTCAATACATTGTTACAAAAAGCACTGCAATATACATATTTATGCAGAAGGCCTTTTTTTTCCCTTTGATTTTATTGCCTTCAGATATCAAGTGAAATTATTGGGTTGAACAGTAAGAACATTTTTATTGCTTTTGATACATAAAGCCATTTTCTTTACTAAAAGAAAAATATCCATTTACATTGTTAGCAATAACATGTAAAGAGGCCTGTTTTCAGTCATAACCTTGATGGTAGTAGAAGTCATATCTTAAATACTTTCTTAATTTAATAGCAATGAAATGACTCCTTGGTTTTCATTTATACTTCTTTGCTGAAATTGTGTTGCCTCTTCTGTGACTTGTATGTTTGTACCCTTTGCATCTCTGCTGGAGACTTGGCATTTTTCTTACAAACCTAAAAATAACAGATACCTCCCAGGCCCACCCAAAAAAATGCTTTAAGTTTAAACACAGAAACAAAAAAAAATCTGCAAATATAAATATAACATGTATTACATAAACATGTGTTCAATAAAAATAAAATTTTGTAGTGCTTATTATGAGCCAGGCACAATTTTAAGCACTTTACCATAACGTTATGAAATATGTATTACTTTATTCCCATTTTATAGGTGGAGAACCTGAGGCAAAAGAGATCAAGAAACTTGCCTTAGGGCCAACCTGGCAGGTATGTCAGGATTCAGTGCCAGGCACTGTGGCTTCCCGGGTCTATGCTATGGCCTCCATGCTCCGTCTGGTATTCCTTAGGAGTAAGAATCAGGGAAGGAAGGCAGCAGGAAAGTGCTATCTGGAGAGTGAATCAGCAATACACACCCAGTCATCATCAGACCTTGGAAACAGTGCATCTGAGCATCTTGGTTCTCTGAACTCATTGCTCATTATTTTAAAATGAATTGAGAAGTAAATGAGCGAATGTAAGAAACAAACTTTCATGAAGCAAGCTGTATTAGTCTGTTTCTGTTGCTTATAACAAAATACCTGGAACTGGGTGATTTATAAAGAAAACAAAATTTATTACTTACAGTTTCAGAGGCTGGGAAGTCCAAAGTCTAGGGAACACATCTGGTGAGGGCTTTCTTTGGTAGTGGCTTTACAGCAATGCAGGGGTCTTACACGGCAGAAAATGGCAGAGCGGAGAGAGTGAGAGAACAACCTCCTCATTCCCTCTCCTTTTAAAGCCCTCAGAACCATGCCCCTAACCACCATTATTAATCCATTCACTACGGCATGGTCTTACAATCTAATCACCTCTTCAAGGCCCCATCTTTCAATTACCATAATACGATTTCCCACCCTCAACAGTTACAGTGGGAATAAAGCCTCAGTGAGGTTGAGGGGCATCCAGTCTACAGCACAAGCTATCCACCTTGTTGATTTAGTAATTGTTACCAAGGATTTTTTGAAGGTGTGTGTTCGTGTTGCATTTTTATAACTGTATGACCTAGCTGGGGCTCCCTTAATGATTTGGGCCCAGTGACATGATATTCTCTTGCCCTTTCTCCGATCCGATGTTAAAAATCATCCCTGCTTGTGATTTGGTAGGTTTTGTTTTGACCAATGGTTCTTAGGGCATAAAACCCTGTTTTATTTGTCGTAAGTGGATTTGATGGATTTAAGTCTAGGATGTTCCAACTTATATGCTGAATAATGAATTTTCACAATTTTGGGTGTCAAAAGTAAAAGCAGTGTGAGCATTTGAATCATTTGCTCTTTTGGATAGGGAGATAAGTGTGGAGGGACAAACAGGCAGGATGTTTGTATTAGTGGGGATTTATTGATTTAAAATTTTCTTTTATAAAAACAGTTGAATACTGGCCAGAAATGATAATGTGAGAAAACCCACGGAGGACTGTTTACTCCACCACTCCCCCCGCCCACACCATTCCTCATGTGTCCACTAATTTGGAGATAAGTCTTTATGTAGAAATGTGGGCTGAGTGAGCTGATGAAATTGTAACCATAAGATAGCAAACAAAAATCACACTGTGAATTAGGATTCGGTTCCCATTGATACCATGTACGTTAGTGACTTTCAGTTGTAATTCAAATGAGTTGTAATGAACTAACACATTTTGAAAGGCTATGCCTTTGATGTCCTCTGTATGGCAAGAATAATCCAACTCAGCATTGTCAGTTTGGGGCTTTAGTTTAATGTGGCCAGTTAGGTGATCTCTCTGAATTGGTGCTGTCCTTAATATCTTTCTAAGTAAAATATGCATCTATGAAATCATGGTAGATGGTTGTCCCTCATTCAAGAGGAGAGAACTAGACAGCTGAGTGTGGAAAATAAAGCAGATGAGCTTTAAGTCTTCTGAAAGAACTTCAACTCATATCAGCTTGAACAAACTACTGAAAGGCAATGTTTAATCTAAGAAGTTTAGGTGGCACACCATCTGCCATGAGGAATCCAAGCTCTGGAGACAGGAAATAATTAGGCTCATTTTCCTGTTGAGTCATTTTCCTGACTATCAGCTAGTTGTACAGTTCAACCATCTCCGAGAATGGGCTGGTTACTTGTTATCAAAAGCAGCTTCATTCATAAAGTTGGTTCTTTGCTAAGACAGCAGCCTAGTTTTGAAAGGGAGATTCACCTTTTCTCAACAGGTTTCCTTTGATGGTTGTAGAACCTCCCAACAGCAGTGATAAGGTGGCTCCCTGGAGAGGCTAAAGCCATTTGCTGGAGAGGCCAAAGCCACTGCAGACAAACTTGATGCAGCTGGTTGGAAGCAGACCTGTACCATGGTTGGCCAGTGGAGCAAGGGCTGAATTTTGGTTCTGACTTGCACTTTGGCTGGGCGCTTTTGTGTAGTATACAAACTATAACGTGATACTGTGACCTTGGAGAAGACCCAGCAGTAATCTAGCATGATAAAGGGACAAAATGGTCCAATTCATATAAATTTCAGTACTCTTAATGTAATTTACTGGTAATGTGTATTTTATTTAACTCAAGCTTTCTAGCCTGCTGGTTTAGTTGGCATCTCTCTCTCCTCGCTGTGCCCCCAACACACCAGGCTCATTCTTGCCTCTTTGCTTCAGCTGATGACTTGGCTCTCTGCAGTTCATCCTTCAGGCCTCAGTTTAGACATCACTTCTTCCAGGGAGTCTACTCTGATCTACCAAGTCTGAAGTACTCCCCTTTAGGTACCCTCACAGTAACCTGAACTTCCCCATTATAGCACTTGAAATACTATCCTTCCTGTTTTCTTGTCTTCATGACTTCATTAGCATAAAAACTTCTTGAGGCAGGAAATATGTTTTTCCTGTTCATGGTTGCATTACAAAAACCTAACATAGTACCCAGCACAAAAGTGAGCACTGAATATACATTAAATGAAGAGTAAATTCATAAGTGCATTCATACAAACCCTTGTTGGTTGATAGATCTGAATATTTGCTTTGGCTTGGTTTAATTGGTTGTGATAGGTTTGGCTGGTGAATAAGTGACCTTGCACATGAGAAAGATATATCCTTGGTGAAATAATGCAGAAGACTGTGTGGTGTTTCTTACGAGCCTTCTCTTGATTGGCTAGTTAACTAAAGAGAAGCCATCTGAGTGAAAGCACTGGAGGGTCCTGAAGTCATGTGACTCGCTCAGATGATGATTTCAGAGCCAGAGTGATCTGGTCTACGTCAAGCTAGGATAGTTCTTTCTGAATAAGTCCTAAAGCACACTAATCTTCTGTTGCCTTGTCTAGCGCTGGAAGACGCAACGCAGTGAGGAGTATGAAGCAGAAGGTAAGAGCTGAGGGTGTGTCGGACCCACCTTGGAGGGAAGGGCAGCCATTCATAGGACACTCTCCACCCCCCACTTTCCTGCATCTCTTATGCTGTAGGCCCGCTGGGAATTAACATTAAGAACAACAGCAACAAAAAATTTGTTCCCCCCTTCAAAAATAAACAAAAGTTTTTTTAAAAAATTGTTCCCGATTGAGAGCTTATAGTTTTAAAATCATGCAAGACATGGCAACTAAGTCGTGAAATTCCACATATGAGCAAATTACTCTGTTATACAGACTTTCAAATTAATTTGCAATTTAGTAGTAATTTAATTAATTCGGACTAACCTAAATAGTGACCTATTAAAATGCATTGACCAGTTTCAGTATTTAAGCAGCATCAGAATGCATTGATCCTCTGGCCACCAGGTGGCACTGTGGTTCAGTTGACAGACCCTCTGCCTGCTTCACAGTCTACCCTGGATTAACTGTACTTAAATGTAATTACACCGTGTTCTCTAGGTCTCCAGCCTAGAAGGCACAACAGTAATGGACTTATATTTAATTTTTGTCAATAAATAGTAGGAGTAGTACTAAATGCTCCTTTCAACCCTCTAAGTTTCTCCCAGGCACACAATTGTGCCAGTAATTATCTCATGTTTAAGAGATGGCTTCACAGAATCTCTAATACTCCATACAGTGGGAAATTTAGAAATAGGGACTTTTTATAAAGGATAAATAAGCATTTTGATTTTTTAAATAATCAGTTTGATCCTTAGGTCTTCAGATAGAACATCCTTCGTGTATAGATAATTACGAACTTGTGGCATGCAACCATGTATTCTTTCAAGTTGTACTGTTTGGTTTCTGTAGGTCAGGATATTTATATGTAAAGATTTGGGAACAGGCTAATCTTGAGGCTTTTATCATGAAATTCTTTCCTTCTCAGTAAAAGAAGCTCTAAATTTTAGACTAGAAAGAGAGCAGAGATAATACAGTCTGACACATATAGTTGAGGCAGGGCTTAGAAGATTCTTGTGATGGCTCTCAACTGGCATTCTCTCAGGATCACACTAAGCCTAAACTTGTGATGTTCTCAGGTGGAACAAAACAAGTTTAGAACCTTGTGCAGTATTGTACAGGAGATGATATTTCTCACACAAGTATGTGTGCCAGTGAGCAAAAAAGTGCCTGTTTGCTCTAGTTGTAGCCTAAGAACCAATGGTTCAATTTCATTGGAACTTCAGGACTGAATCAAAATGGAATCAACATTTATTGTCTTTTTCTTGCAATATTTATTTTCAAAAAGCACATTTTTCTTTGAGAATAGGCGCTCTCTCATGGCAATTCCTTTGCAGACAACACAACATACGCTTTTATTTCAGGCCAGTTAAGGTTTTGGAACCCAGATGATTTGAATGCCTCGCAGAGTGGATCTTCCCCTCCCCAAGACTGGATAGAAGAGAAACTGCAAGAGGTTTGTGAAGATTTGGGGATCACCCGTGATGGTCACCTGAACCGGAAGAAGCTGGTCTCCATCTGCGAGCAGTATGGTTTGCAGAATGTTGATGGAGAGGTAAGCCTTGCAAGGATGCTTTTATTCAGGAATACTGATGATAGTCAAAGCTCAGCTGGTCACAGACTGGAATAGCCATATCATGGCTTCCTGCAGCTTGTTAGGGAGAACCATTATCTTTCTTCCTAGGAAGTAATTCATGAAGATTCTGTCTTTGAGGAGCTCATGTTGTATTGTGGGAAAGAAAAACTGACAATAGCTGACACTTTTCTGAATCCACAGTATGTGCCTGTCACTGTGCTAAGCATATTACCCCATGTAAAACTATCAGCCACCTGCCCAGTGCAGCCATGATGTCAGACATATCTGTAGAGGTGTCATTCACGGAGCAAACTGTGGGAAAGTGTGGAGGAAGAACTAAGCAGGGAGTTCAGTAGATTTGAGTTGGGGGAATATATTGAAGGCCGAGCTGATAAGTTTAGATTTTTGGAAAGAAGATCTCAATATCATCCCTGGGTTCTTAAGCAGATGGAGCAATGTATATAAGAAAAGTTTATTTCCTGAAGTTGTTCTGAGCTGCTTTTACATAGTGATGTGAAGAGAGCCTTGGGTTAAATAGAGCAGCCAGGAGCCATTACAATATTCTGGTCATGAGGAAATGGGAAAAAAAAAAGGGTAGTCAGTTGTTTTGAAAATACAAAGAGTGTTGAAGGAGTCCCCAAGAGACTCTTACCTGGAAAAACTCTGAGCTTTACGTTTTCCAAAAAATTAAGAGGGGAACTGACAGGACTGGGTGCATGAACAGCCATGAAGCAAAAGAATATAAATAATTCCAAGCAGGCACAGAAAGAGAAATATCGCATGTTCTCACTTATATGTGGGAGCTAATAAAAAGTAAATAAATAAATATACAAACAAATACATGGGGGGAAACAAGATAACAATCACAATAATTTCATGAACTTGTTAAGGTAAGTGAACAGATATGACGTTGATGGGGGAAGAGGCAGGGGGAGGGGGGGAAGGAGAAACTGGTAAAAGGACATGAAAATCAACTACACTGTATATTGATAAATTTAAAAATTAAAAAAAATTTTAAATGTAAAAAAATAAAAAATAAATAATTCCAAGATATGCCTTTCAAAGAGCTGAAAATAAGGATTTGTGAGAATTAGAAGTTAGAACTACAGTTTTAGCTTTGGGAATATTTGATTATAATGATATTTGAAACTATGCTGTCTGATTGCTCAGGGGATAAGTGGTCTTATTTTCCCAAACAAGAAATTTATCATCAAAACTTCCAAGTAGCCTGGCTTGCAGCCAAGTGTTCTTTCCCTTCTTGCTTGCATATGTGATCATAATATATATCATATAACCTTTGAGTGCCTTTGTAGTGGCTCAGTGGTAATTTATTTTTCAGTGGTGGCTGTTGAGTCATAAAATTAAATTCATCCTCCTAAATTATAAACCGGTGCAGTATTGAAAACAATGGGTTGTTTTTGCCAAGAAATATTGCACAAACTTGGATTATTTATCTGAAAACAATTCTTGGAATAAACTGTAACCATTTGTGGGGAATTGCATTTTCTTTTGTGGTGGAGTTTCCAAAACCTGGGAAAAGAAATAGCAAGTTTAGTTATTTTCCTTTGGTCTGAGGATGAGTAAAAAGAAAAATCATGAAATGCTATAGTACTTTTTATTATTAGCTCTAAACCACAGAGAAATGGAAGTTCAAGATGATCTCGTTTTTTTTTTTTTTTTTTTTCCTTTTTGTCTTTTTTCGTGACCGGCAACAGATCGCAACCCTCAGTGTCACGCCCGTACCGGGCCGGGACCAGCAACGGGATTGCAACCCTCGGTGTTGTGCCCGCACCTCGCTCAGCCAGTGAGTGGCCGGTCTGTATGTGGGATCTGAACCCTTGGCGGGAGCGCCACCGTGCTCCCAAGCAGCGCACTGTAGCAGTGCGCCACCGGGCCGGCCCCAAGATGATCTCGTTAACATATAACTTGAAGTCCTAAAGTGTTACAACTGAAAGCAGTTTTTTTGTTTGTTTGTTTGTTTTTTCCTTTTTTTTTTTTGTCTTTTTTCCTGACCGGTAACGGGATCACAACCCTCGGTGTTGCACCCGCACCACGCTCAGCCAGTGAGCGGGGACCGGTCTCCACATGGGATCTGAATCCTCGGCAGGAGCGCTCTCAAGCGGCGCACTCTCCAGTGCGCCACCAGGCTGGCCCCTGAAAGCAGTTTTAGATTTAGTCATCCCCTCATTTTATAAAGAAAGTGAGATCACAGCTGCTCACATTTTCATGAAGAGGAACTGGATTCACTGTCTTCTAGCTGTAACTGGTATTCTGCTTTTTAGAAGTGAGGACAACTACCAGACAGGGATGGCAAATTAGCACCCTAGATGCCAAATCTGGCCCAAAGCCCATTTTATTTGGCCTGCCCAATGTTTTAAAAAGTGAACTTTTTGCTACACTTTTTTAAATTGGGAGATTTTGTTAAAATCCAAAAGTTCCGTTCCCTTTTGCAGGCAGTGAATACACAGCTAGCCCCTTTGGAGAGGGCGTGCACTCATGTGTTCAGCTTACCCATCGTCACCACTTTCTGATGTCTTAAAGCCATTCTGCCTCATTCATTTACATCACTTTGCAGGCCTCTCTGGGTACTTGGGTTTGTGATTCCATTTCTACCTCATTATTTCCCAACTTACATATCAGGAAATCAAACATCCAAAGACCTGGTCGATGTATCCTGGGGAGAAGAATGTCCTCACAGTTCTAGATGTGACTCCTGTTCAGAGTGTGTGGGGTGCCCTCGTTGACTAGTTAACCTGCATTCTTTTCTGCCCCACTCTGCCCATCTGCCCTTTTCTAAATCCACATCCTTTTACTGACCACTTGCCCTCTGCCCCATCTAAAATAGTTGGCAGTCCTCACCTGCTTCACCACTTTGAAAGGATCAGGCAATGGATGTTTAAGCAATCTAGAAGCTGTACACTGATTTGGCCAAGGTCACAAGGTCAAGCAATGTGGATCTAAGGTTAGAGCCAAAATACTACCTCATTAACTTTAATCAGAGCACACGGACATTACTGTAACTTCTGGTTTGACAGTCTTGACAGCCTTGTTCTCTAGGAGAGTGTTCTTGTTGATAAAAACAAGACAGAAAAGGATCTTAGCAACCTAAAATCTTGCCCCAAATACCTCCCCATTGATTTAATCAACAGGATTCTCTATTAGGAATTGTTGCTTCTTCCAAAGATTTTTACTCTTTCAGTGGTTTTCTTTGAGTCCTCTGCAGAGGAAATGGTATAAAAGTAAGAAAGGAGAAAGATATTTCCTATTGGATGTGAATTGGAAAAAAAGTTTGAAATAAATGTCCCAAGCACTTACCTAAAGAATAAAATCAACTGGGCCGGCTGCGTGGCGCACTCAGGAGGGTGCAGCGCTTGGGAGTGCAGCGGCACTCCCACCGCGGGGTTGGATCCTATGTAGGGATGGCCGGTGCGCTCACTGGCTGAGCGTGGTGCAGGTGACACCAAGCCAAGGGTTGCGATCCCCTTACCAGTCACAAAAAGGACAAAAAAAAAAAAGAAAAAAGAATAAAATCAACAATTATGAAATATGAATCCTAGCGATAGTCTGGATTTATGAAATGAATATTAAAAGTTTGAGAATATGTTACAGCAAATTTAAGCCTGTGTTTGAATGGACCCAATTGTAGGCTCTTAATGCAACAGGAGTAAATTTGCTGCTTATTCTATCTCGTTGCTACTCGATGACATGAGCATCTCCTGGGAGCTTGTTAGAAATGCAGAATCTCAGACTTACTGTATCAGAGTCTGCATTTTAACGACATCTCTGAGTGACTTCTGTTTTGTACATTGGAGTTGTATTCCTATAGGAAAATTTTAGACCCTAAAGTAAAGAGGAATCCAACTGCCATTAGGGAGTCTTTGCCTTTCCTCCCTGTTTGGTAGCTTCAGTGATTTATATTGCTCTGTTCTCCTTCCGATTCCTCTGTGGAGCTTGGGAACAAATCATCTCCCATGAAGCCTCTGGATGGGGCTGTAGTCCAATCTCCCCTTCCCCTATTATATGATGGGGACTACTTGATTACTGTTATGGTGCAAAATAGCCAGTCACAATTTTCTCATCTTTATATCTCTTGGAATCCTTCTATTGCACACACTTAAAATCCTTTTCATTCAATCTTTGTCTCCTGTGCTAAAGCATTAAAATAAAACCCCACCCAGCACATGCAGTGTTGTTCCAAGTAAGGTTCTAAATCCCCTACATTATAGGTTTTAGACCCAAACTCTTAGATCATTGCAATCTGTCCCAGACCAAATTCTGCTGTGCTAGCATACTAATTTTGAAAATTCAGTGTAAGCCAAATATCACTTAGAAAAAAATGTCCAACTAATTTCTATTGTTATGACACTGGCAAGCTATATCTTTGTTTTAATTTTTTTAACTAATAATAATAATATGTGGCAACATTAAAGATTGCCTGTTATAGGAGTGTTGGTAAAAGAGAAACAGCATTGCTAAGTAGCATAAGATTATGAAGATGTTGAAAATGGACTTTTATTTAGTTTATGTGAGGAGGGAAAACATATCATTACTGGAAAGGGAAATAACTTTAGTGAAGTGAGAATAAAGGGACATAATTATGTTTCTGGAGCCCTGGGTCAACAGTGGCACTGATTTCTATTTGCCAGAATTGTACTTTGGATCTTTTGTTTTTTCGAGTAACGTATTTTAAAATATGCAGTTAATCTTTTCCAGATGCTTGAGGAAGTGTTCCATAATCTTGATCCTGATGGTACAATGAGTGTAGAAGATTTTTTCTATGGTTTGTTTAAAAATGGAAAATCCCTTACACCATCAGCATCTACTCCATATAGACAACTGAAAAGGCACCTCTCCATGCAGGTAAAAATAAATAGGAAATGTTTTCTTTGTGAGTAAAAGTGAGAACCCATTTGAATAAGTCCTAATGTATTACTCTGTTGTCTGAAGCAAAATACTAGTGAGAGAGCATGAAGCAAAGAAGAATTAGAAAGACTGAACCATTAGGAAGGAAATGTTGGGTTTGAGAAACGACCATAAATTGCAGAGTGGGAAGGCCGCTAATTATGCCTGTTGATGTCAGCTCCGGGTCAGAAGAAACCCGGTGTTAAGTAGACACACATCTTGTCTATATCAAAGAACTCTCTACCAGAACAACTTTTTTTGATATTCTTGACTCACTTGGGAATGGAGATCAAAGGGGCTGTGTGACTTTTTTTCCCTAGCAGTGTAAACTAGAGAAACATGCCTTCTGCTCATTGTGCTTGGGGCTGACCAGTTTCGGTCTTGACCAACATCTTGTTGAAATGCCTGCACTCAAGCTAAGCTTGCTCAAGTCTCTTTCTTCTTCCAGTCTTTCGATGAGAGTGGACGGCGTACCATGACCCCATCAGCGATGATGAGTACCATTGGCTTTCGGGTCTTCTCTTGCCTGGATGATGGGATGGGCCATGCATCTGTGGAGAGGATACTTGACACCTGGCAGGAAGAGGGCATCGAGAACAGCCAGGAGATACTAAAGGTGTGGCAGCATTTAATGGGAGGAAAATGACAAATCCAGAGAAGGTTGAAATGTTTTAATTTGTTTTTGAAATGCTGTGACTTGATTTGATTTCTCCTTAATGATTCTATTCACAAGATCTCAAAGATAAGAGGTAACTTTCCCTACTCCGTTTAACCAGGAGTCTGTTTCTAACCACTTTCCATGTTTCTAAAGCCCCAAATTATTGACATGAGAAATACTCTTAACTGACCTCTGATTGGTAAAGGTTAGAGTTATATCATTGCATTTGTTTATAGTGCTCAATAGTATATTTTTTTTAAAAACATGCAAATAATCATGTTATGCTTTCCTTAGAGAGAACTTAGTTATGGTCTTGATTGAAGATTGTTCCTAAGCAATCACTAAAGAAATGTAATCAACTAATTTCTAGACTATAAATTCAGTTCTGAGTTTGTATAACTTTTACATTTTCTGCTTTCAGAGGATAGAACTTGTGATTTGTGTTCTGATTTTTAGGCCTTGGATTTCAGTCTTGATGGACACATCAACTTGACAGAATTGACATTGGCTCTTGAAAATGAACTTTTGGTCACCAAGAATGTCATTCACCAGGCGGCTCTGGCCAGCTTTAAGGCTGAAATCCGGCATTTGTTGTGAGTTGAGCAGACGGTTTGCCTGCTCCATTCCCTTTCCTGCTTGTCCAGCAAGTCATCAGATGCCTGTGACAAACATTTTCCATTCTATATGCAAATGTGACTAATCTTCTATCATCTAAATACTGCACAAATCTTCCTTAAACTGTAGGAAAATGAGCTAGAACTTAGTATGTGGGCTTTTGAAGGGAACTATGGAATGCCTTTTTGTTTGGGGAGGGTTTTGGTTGTCTTGGTTTTGTCTTTTATTGAAGCAAGCCAGATGAGAGCTTTTTGTGGGGGTCTACTTGTTGCTTAGAAACAGTTTCCCATTAACTGAGTTTGTTTCTGATTCTAGGGAACGAGTTGATCAAGTGGTCAGAGAAAAAGAGAAGCTACGATCAGATCTGGACAAGGCTGAGAAGCTCAAGTCTCTAATGGCCTCAGAGGTGGACGATCACCATGCAGCCATAGAGCGGCGGAATGAGTACAACCTCAGGTGCGACTGGCAGGGCGAGGTCCTTGCTTTCCCACCACCCTGGCCCTGGGCAGTGGCACCTGCAGCTGCAGGGCCAGAACAGAGCATGGGGACTCGCCTGCCTGCCTGTTTGGCCACACCTGGCTGGAGTGACTTAGGTGTGGCCAAACCTAAAGGAAAGCAGGACACATTAGATATTTTCCAGGGTACTCTCTATCTCTGTCAGTTTCCATTTTTGGTGGATCCATATAGGGACCTCTGAGGGATTTGATGGCAGCTTGATGGTTTTTCCTTCGCACAGGAAACTGGATGAAGAGTACAAGGAGCGCATAGCAGCCTTAAAGAATGAACTCCGAAAAGAGAGAGAGCAGATCCTGCAACAGGTGGGCAAGCAGCGCTTAGAACTTGAGCAGGAAATTGAAAAGGCAAAAACAGAAGAAAACTACATCCGGGACCGCCTCACCCTGTCTTTAAAGGTAATCATACTAGTTCTGTGGTCTGCATCCCTGCTAGGGTGCCACATGGAAAACTACAGCACTGTAAGTGGGCAAGACTGCACAGGGCTTGGTCTGAGGAGTCCCGTAAGTTGGCCCAGCTGGGAGGGGCTCCTGCTCTGATCTGGATTTCAGGTCTATCCAGGCTTCTGTTTGCTAAAGTGTTGGTTAGTGTTTCTTGTTTTCCTCACCTTCTGCAGTTGCACTGAGTCCTCAGGACTGTTTGGCACCTGGCTGACACCCTCGTTCCCATAGCTGCTCCTCCAAGCCTATCCCTCACTCTGAGATCCCCCTTCTTCTTTCCCACCCGTTCCCCTTCTTCTCAGCAGATGGCCTTGCCTCCTGCCACACAGCCTGTGTGTTTCTCTTGGCTTCCAAATGAGCCTTTTCTGTCATACATCCTCCTGTCTTCTTGTGCCTCAGTGAAGGAAGTGGTCCCCGTTTTCACTGGATTTTGATACCGTATAACACGGTGCAGGGGCTCTGGAGTCAGACTGCCTGGTTCAGATATGGGTACCTCTGCTTACTAGAGAACCTTGATCAAGTTACTCAGACCTGTTTCCTAGTGTAAAAACTGGGCACCGTAATAATACCTACCCTGTAGCGTTGATGTGGTGGCTGGATGTGATGATACATATGTGGTGTCTGGAAAGTGATAAGTGCACATGAAATGTGCGCTGTTGCTGCTATTATGAAGGGTTCCTGAAACCAACATGTGAAAAACTGAGCTAATGATCACTCCCTAACCATCCAGATGCTTCATCTCCTGAATCGTCTCCCTAATCAACATCATCGCCATGTGCTGTAAGTCCCAGAAGCTAAAATTCTCAGTCATTGTCGCTGATCAGTCTCTAAGTTGTGTGGATGCTCTGAAATGCCTCTCAGATCTCTCCCCTTCCTTGGCATTTCCCCAGCCTCTGATTAGGTTCAGAATTCACCATTTCTCAGCTGATTAGTGTGCATCCTGAATGGTCCTTTCTTCCATCTCTCTGACCTCCATGTGGCCGCCAGAATTATCTTACTAAATATCAGTTGCATCATGCTGTTACCCTTTGTTAAAAAACAAGCAAACCAAAAAACCCAACCCAACGTGGCTCATCCTCCCAGTTGTCTAACCTTAGCTCCTGCCGGCAGCTCCAGTGCCCTGCCCGTCACTCCACTGCACCTTCCAACAGTTCTTTCAGTTCCTCAAGGGCAGAGCACCTTCATGCTCCTTCCCCGCTCTCCCCAACACTGCAGGCCAAGTCACTTCTCCGATTCACTGTTTTCTTGCCAGAGGACAGAGAATTTCCTGTTGTCATAGACGTTGTATCCACATCTGCCTCCCTCCCCATGGTCAGTGACAAACAGTATCTGATTGGTCTGTTTCCAGAGCACCAGCACAGTGCCTGATACACAGAGATTACTCCCTATTACTTTAACATCTAAATTTAGATATACTTTGAAAGATTAGAGTTCTAGAATTGGCATTTTAGGGGACAGTAGCATTCATTAAAATGCTTCAAGTACATTCTTTTTTACTCTGTATTGGTCTATGAGGATGTGAACTAGAATATATTAAAAATATACTGCCTTTATAGTCTTTTGGCAAAACGTACTTTGAAAATAATGTTCTTCCAATTAGCCTTTAATATTGGAGAAGAAACTATGTTAGATGGCATGTTTGTTTGTTTTATGTTGTTTTCTTTCCAACAAATGTGGGCAGAATTCTTTCTAAAAAGTACAACACATGGAGATTCTTTTAAATGAAAAAAATCTTTTATGGGTTTCTGTTGATGTGTTATTTTATTGCAATAACTTAAACAAATACAAATTATGAGCAATTTATAGATGTAGCTTTTACATCTTTAAACCAAAATAAATTTATAAATTAAATATAAGACAAACTCTAATATTAATAAATGAAAAGTGATTTTAGAGTTACTCTATTTTTATAGTTTTTTCTGAGTTTTCTTTTCCTGGCCGCTGAATGAATTATTTTATAACCTTTTTCTTTCTTTTGACAATATGTTGAGAATATTTTCATGTAATTAAAAAGTCTACTACAATGCTGTCCAATAGAAATACAATGCAAGCCACATATGTAATTCCAAATATGCAAATAGCCACATTAAAAGGTAAAAAGAAACAGCTGAAACTAATTTCAAATCACTTAATTGAGTATTTCCAAGACTTTATCATTTTGACATGTAATCAGTGTAAAGAAATTATTACTGAGCTATTTTACATTTTCATGCTATTTTAAATCTGGTGTGTATTTTACACTTACAGCACATCTCAGTTTGTACTAGACATATTTCAAGTGCCTGATATCCACATGTGGCTGCTAGTGGCTACCATATTGGACAGCACAGGTCTATAGGAGCAAAAAAAAAAAAAAAAAAGGCAGACTTTGTTGTTGTTATAAGGCAGATAGCAACTTTTTTATATTTACTTTTGTCTCCTCTAGTCTACTACAGCTCTCAAGAAGGACAGATATTCTTTATCTAAAGCACTGATTTATGCTTTACGTAAAATGGTACAACAGTTTGCTTATTTCTTAATCTGTGCCATATTTTATTTCCCCAAATTTCTTCAGGAAAACAGTCGCCTGGAAAATGAGCTTCTGGAAAATGCAGAGAAGTTGGCAGAGTATGAGAATCTGACAAACAAACTTCAGCGAAATTTGGAAAATGTGTTAGCAGAAAAGGTAAATCGGGTTAAATCTGATTTCCTGATAGGCAGCCCAAAGTACAGTTTACTCAAAAGAGCAGAAGCAATGTCAACACAGCATTTTTATCAGAGAATTATTTGGGCCACTGAAGGGAATTTAACTTCTGTTGGGATATAATTTAGGAGGTTGGCTATGAGGGAAGACATTGCCTGGCACTGAGAAATGACCCCTGCCTGAGTTGAACATGTCAGCTGGGTCTGTTCTCCCCATCACCCAGTTGCTGGTGTTTCTGCTTAAATGTCACATTCCTTTCATACTCGAGAGACTGAGCAAACACCAGAAACTGGAGCCTTTGCTATGCTAAAGGTCAAAGAAGGGCACTTGGGAAAAAATGACGGCTTCTTGCCCCTTTCCACTTGTAGTTTGGTGACCTCGATCCCAGCAGTGCTGAATTCTTTCTGCAAGAAGAGAGGCTGACACAGATGAGGAATGAATATGAGCAGCAGTGCAGGGTAAGTGGCTGAAAAGAACTGAGCAAGTGCAAGAATGCCCGGGTTCAGATCCCACCTGCACCAGTTACTAGCTGTGTGGCCATGAGCAAGTCACTTAATCTCCGGAGGCCTCAGTTCCTCATCCATAACATGGCAAAAATAAGAGTACTCACCACACAGCGTTGTTGTGGAGATTCACTGAGTCAACATATAGTGCTAAGAACAGAGCCAGGGATATAGTAAGCACTTACACAAATGTTAGGTTTGCTTTATCTAAGTCAGAAATTGCTAGCACTTAGAGGAAAGTGTAGTTTTATTCCAGGTGGAGGAATATTTGGTCATGTTGATATGCCTTTTCCAAGATTAGCCTTTCCTGGTTGGTCATTGCAGACCTAATCTGATGTGATTTGGTTTTGTCCTATAATTTGGTTTCGTATTTCTTTTTCCAAATACATTCCTTATCTTATGTATAAAATGCAAATGAAGCAGAAACTACTCAAGCCTTTAGCTAGTAAACCATTCTCAGTTCCTACCAGGAGAGACACAAACATTCTTATAAATAACAGAAGTCTTTCATTTTTTAAAAAATTACTTCCCCTACATTTAGAAGTTAAACCAAAAACATTTGTTTATTTTTAACAAGGTCAGTATAACTGAATTCTAACTGCTTTAGATAAAAATAGTAATTGTGTGGGGATGAGGAAAAAAAATCACTTCTTTATGAAGTTGCTTTTAACCTGCCTTCTCAGGAAATACACATGCACATTTGAGAATTGTAACTATGTGTTAGCTCTTGGTTCTGATAAAATAGAGCTGTTTTCTTTAAATGTCTTTAAATTTAATGAATTTATCAGTACAGTCTATCAACTCTACCTCAGAAATTCCCCCAATTTATTCACTTCTTCACTTTTTAACAGCTTTATATACCATGTATGTCACCCATTTAAAGTGTATAGTTCAGTGTCTTTTATTATATACACAGAATTGTGCAACCATCACCACAATCAAGTTTAGAACATTTTCATCACCCCCAAAAGAAACCCCCTCTCTTCTTAGCCATAATCTCTCCAATGTTCCCCAGCCCTAGGCAACTACTAACTTACTTTCTGTCTCTATAGATTTGCCTGTTCTTTATATTACATATAAATGGAATCATATAATACGTAGTTCTTTGTGACTGTCTTCTTAACATAATGTTTTCAAAGTTCATCCATGTTGTAGCATGTATCAGGTACTTCATTCCTTTTTATGGTTGAACAATATTCCATTGTTTGGATATACCACATTTTGTTTATCCATTCATCAGTTAGTGGATATTTGAGGTTTGGGGGCTGTTATGAGTAATTCTGCTATGACAATTTGTGTGCAAGTTTTTATGTGGACATATCTTTCCATGTCTCGTGGGTTCCATTTCACCTAGGAGTGGCATTGCTGCTATGTGGTACAGTAACTCTGTGTTTAACCTTTGAGGAACTGCCAGACTTCTTCCCAAGTGGTTGTACCACTTTATGCTCCCACTGGTATGAGAGTTCCAGTTTCTCCCACTTCTTTGCCAATAGTTGTTATTGTATGTCTTTTTTATTCTAGCCATCCTAGTGGGTGTGAAGTGGTATCTCATCACGGTTTTGATTTGCATTTTCCTGATTGCTAATGATGCTGAGTATCTATTTATATATTTATTGCTCATCTGTCTGTCTTCTTTGGAAAAATATCTGTTTATATCCTTTGCCCATTTTTTGAGTTCTTTGTCTTTTTTTATTGAATTGTAGTAGTCTGTATATTCTGGTTACAAGTCCCTTGTCAGATATATAATTCACAAAACTTTTCTCCCATTCTGTGGGTTGTCTTTTTTCTTTACTGATGGTGTCCTTTGAAACACAAACATTTCTATTTTGATGGTGTCCAATTTTTGTATTTTTTGTTGCTTCTGCTTTTGGTGTGATATCCAAGAACTTTGTTGGTTTTTAAACCCAGGTATTACAAGACCAAGTGGATGAACTCCAGTCTGAGCTGGAAGACTATCGTGCACAAGGCAAAGTGGTCAGGCTTCCCTTGAAGAACTCACTGTCAGAAGAACTCTATGTTAGCAGTGGCGGCATTGAGCCCAACCAGGGTAAGCACAATCAGACACTGTCTTTTCAGAGTCTCTGCTTTTGACCCTTGTTTTTAGAACCATGGTTGAATATAAAACTGCAAAATTTTGGCAACCTTATAAGAAAGACTTTGGCAATATTCTTTTCTTGAGCTATTTCACTTGTGGTTTTACATTTGTCCTTGAAGTCTTTATGAAAATATTTCCATCCAATTTTTATATGCCTCAGCAAAGTAATGGAAAAATCAAACCACAGGGATATTTGCTTGGTTTAAAAAACAATATAAAATAAAACTGGCCACAAATCTGAGAATCCAGGCCTTTGGGGTATTAGAATTCAGACAGTGAGCTATTGCTGAATCCTCCCTTTCTAAGAGAGTGCCTAACAAGTATGAAGATGGTTTTGGAGAGTGGGCCAGCCAGCAGCCACAGAGTCCATAACTGGTTTTCTTATGCTAGCTGTGCTGAGTTTCTGTATTGCCTCTGCAAAGCAACAAATAAGATAAATAAGGGTTGGTTGCCTGTGCCTTTGAGGAAGATTTTGAGCGGCAAGATTAGAAGGCAGAGTCGTTTGTGAACCCTCCTGCATTCACTATCAGCTCTTTGCCTCCCTCCTGATATCCTGCCTCTTTGGGCTTGTTGAGTTTGAATGTAAGAAAGCACTCATAATCAGTTTTTCTGTTATAATTAGCTTTCCTCACTGCTGCTTGGGACAAGAGTACAGTTCTTACAAAGGTTGTGTATTCCTCCCCTTATGTACTTAAGTGTGGAATAAATAAGGGATTGGGAAGGGGAGAGGAAGAGGCCTTAAGAGCTCTCCTTCGATACTTGGCTCACTGTGGTCTAATGATGGACACCGTTTGATGATAGGATATATCTCAGTAGGTTTTCTGGGCTTTTCCATAGATGACCAAGTGTTAGGAGATGCTCCTCATGGGTATGTGATGCTGCGCCATCTAGGGGTGGCTTACATTCCATGTGGGGATATGCCATAAAAGAAAGCCCAGAGCAAAACTGTCAATCCCAGCAACTAGACCTATGCCCAAGAAGAGTCCCTTTCTCCCATCTGCCTGTGTATCCCCACACAAAAAACTATTTTGGGTCCCCTGCCCTAAGAGATTTCTACATAGTATTCAACATAATGTATACACTAGCTGAGCCACAGCAATTTGTGTTCCACATTTCCATTGTCCTTCTCAGTCATCATTGTGGGCAGTTGCAGAGGTGAACTCATATGGATGAGCTGAGAATTTCCTCAAAAAACTGCCTATCAGGGTTCCTCACCTATGCCCCATTTTTTTTACATTTTAACTGATAATGTAAGATGGGCATCCACCCACAGTCCAGGAAATTCATATGACGATATCCAGTCTTCCATATTGTCGAGTGATGGGTTGGCTATCATGACCCAAGAAGTTAACTCCTCAAGGCATAGCAGTATGCATGCTGCCTGTTTATTCCCCTGCTACATTGTCCCTCTGCTGATTTGTCACTCAGTATTTGTTGGGTGAATAGAGGTGGTTGATTTGACCAAAGTACCTCATGCTATTGCCTCAACCTACAGCATTTTCATTAGGAGGAGGTCACCTTTAAGCAACAGTTTCCACACCTACCCTCACCTTCTGTTCAAAAGATGGATTTTGTTGGGCCGACCCCGTAGTGCACTCAGGAGAGTGAGGTGCTGGGAGCGCAGCGGCGCTCCCGCCACGTGTTCGGATCCTATATAGGGATGGCCGGTGCGCTCACTGGCTGAGCGCGGTGCGGGTGACACCAAGCCAAGGGTTGCAATCCCCTTACCGGTCACAAAAAGGACAAAAAAAAAAAAAAAAGATGAATGTTGTTAAGGTTTGGTACCCTGCTGTGCATGAAAGAAGCTGTTTGCCTTCATTTCTTCTATTTGCCCTAAGACTTGAGAAGAGAAGAGGGTTCTCTTGTTTCCTAGTAGATCACATCTGGACTATTCAGGCCAAAAACTATTCCTTAGTTAAACTGGATGTCCCTCCTCAGATGCCAGACTGTGTTATTGAAAGAGCCTGCCACAGACTCAATGGGCTCCATGTGTTTTCAGGGCTTGGTTCTGAAGAATGCAATCCACTGAACATGAGCATCGAGGCAGAGCTGGTCATAGAACAGATGAAAGAACAACATCACAGGGACTTGTGTCGCCTCAGACTGGAACTTGAAGATAAAGTGAGTCCTTCTTACCTATCCAGTCCTCTAATTTCTTTGACCTCTGACAACCTTTTGCACATAGGGCATTTCCAATTCTTTTTTTTTCATAGGGCAGCCCTTTCTGTCCCTTCTCTTTTATGTCTGGTGGCTACCAGGGACCCACTTCTTCAGGATGCTTTCATAGGCTGAGGGCAAGGTCTTTTTCTCATGAGAGGGAGTTTCTCCAAAATGTAATATCTTTAGCCCTGGCAAGCATGGAACTTGAAGTTTGATGACCGTTATATTATTTCAAACTTGTTTTAAAAAGAAACATCTAAATAAAACTGAAAAGCCCTTTGATGTAGCATTACCAACTAAGTTATGTACAAATTCTGAACCTTGGCCTCCAAACTCTGCACCATGTGGTTTCCGCGTTACATTTCCAGATTTCTCTTTCACCATTCCTTTGAGTTACCTTATCCTCCAGCCAAACTGGGTAATTTGCTGTTTCCAAATTGTCTCTTTTTTTCCTGGTACTACAAATTATGCTATTATTATTTCTTTCTACCTCTTAGACATCTGTGTACTCTTCAGAGTTTATATCAAATGCTGCCTCTTGCATGAAGCCATTTCTAAATTTCCCCAACCAAATGTTATTTTCTCCTCCTTTGAGTCCCTGAGTTACACTGTGGCTCTTTCTATACCTTTTATCTTTTATGTTCTACCTTGTAGTATACTTGCAGTCGTCATATCCATGTCTAAACTGGCTTCTTCTTGATATCAGGAATTGTGTCTTACCCAACTTTGTGTTCCCACAAGGCCTGCAGAGTACCTGATAGGTGTTCAATAAATATTTTAATTTAACTTAATATTTTAAGACCCTAAATTTGCAAGTGAGATCTAGATCCAATTCGGAGAGGATGCATGGGAAGACAAATGGTGTCTATCTATGTATGAGGGTCTGGTCAGTTCTTAATAAAGTTGTTCAGAAACTAATAAAATTCAACCAAGTTAAAACAGAAGCAGACCATGCCTGACTTTAATATCTTACTTAAAGTGTTTTTGAATTAAGTTACTTTAAAACACAATGGGGAAATTGAGGAATGTTGGATAGAAAAAAGTACTTGCTGCCCCCATTCCTTCCTTTTCTGTGGCCTTGAGTTGCATAACCTTTGGTGGTTTCACTCTCCGACTTTAGGTGCACCATTATGAAAAGCAACTAGATGAAACTGTGGTCACTCGTGAAAAGGAGCAGGCGGACATGAAGCAGAAGTATGAGAATGAAATGCACACCTTGGAAAAACAAATAAGTGACCTTAAAAGTGAAATTTCAGAACTTCAGGGGCAGGCAGTGGGGCTCAGGGAGGCACACCGTGAGACCACCCGCAGACACGAGGAGGAGAAGAGACAACTGCAAAGGACGTTTGATGAGGAAAAGACTCGCCTGCAGGAGGAGCTGAGGCTGGAACAGGAGACAGAGCTCAAGGCGAGACTCGAGCAGGTGGAGGAAAGCTTTAACCGAGAGAGGGAAGGACTCATGCAAAGTAGTGCCTGGACAGAGGAGAAGGTGAGAGGCTTGACTCAGGAACTAGAGCAGTTTCACCAGGCACAGATGAAAAGCCTGGTGGAGAAACACATGCTGGAGAAAGAGGAGTTGAGAAAAGAACTCTTGGAAAAACACCAAAGGGAACTTCAAGAGGGAAGGTAAGAAAGAGGTGAATGGGAGCAACCTGGGGTGCTGGCTCTCAGGGTGCCAGAAGTTCCAGTCAGTTAAGGATACTTAGAAAAATCAGAAGGCATAACAGCCCATTGATTGATCAGATTCTTTTTAAAATTTTCAACCGGTTTTGCCATTATTTGACATAAGCCTACCTTGGGGTTATTGGAACTGGGTTTGGTTTGGTTTGGCTTGGTTTTGAAAAGAGAAAAATATTCCTTCTATTAAGACTTATTATATCTCATTAGGCTCCAGATGAGGATAAGATTGTCCCAAATGTGGTTTCTTCCTAGTTCAATCCTGTTGCTGTCTGAGAAAAGCTATGTATAAGCTACAGTCTGGGCAAAGGAACCTTTCCTCCCTGAGTTATAAAGCAGCACTTCGTGCTTCCCTTTCTCACATGAAGTCCCAGGTACATTTGAGGGCTTTGCTACTTCACACCCTGATTAACTTGGTGCCACTTTATTAAATAAGAAGCAAAAGTAGAATGAATTTGTTAATATGTATGGTTTATATGACTAATATCCTGTAATGCATGCTTAATTAAAATAAAGGAATGTTTTGTATTCCCCAAGTTAGGGGTTAAGTTAATATGTATTTGATCATTTAATGTGAAATATCATTTTAAGTCTTTGGTTTAAAATCCATGAACAAATACATCCAGGAGTATGTCAAATACTTGGTTTCTAAAATTTCCCCCTGACTACAGAGGAGGTAAGTCTTTTAAATTAATTATGGCCGCCAGTCTTTGCTCTCAGAAATGAGACTTCATCCCAGTACAAATGAATATGATAGGAGTAAGTTAAGGTATTTTTAGAAAGTATTTCACTTGTTTAGTTGGTGGTCTCCTCTATGTAGGGGAAAATGTTTTTTGTTTGCTTCTGGAGTTGGCGACAGTTTCAGTAATGCTGTATGTTGGCTACATTTAGGGAAAAAATGGAAACAGAGTGTAATAGAAGAACCTCTCAGATAGAAGCCCAGTTTCAGGCTGATTGTCAGAAAGTCACTGAGAGATGTGAAAATGCCCTGCAAAGCCTGGAGGGGCGCTATCGCCAAGAGCTAAAGGACCTGCTGGAACAGCAACAGGAAGAGAAATCCCAGTGGGAGTTTGAGAAGGACGAGCTCACCCAGGAGTGTGCAGAAGCCCAGGAGCAGCTTAAAGAGACTCTTCAGAGAGAGAAAGCAACTTCTCTGGTCCTGACCCAGGAGAAAGAGATGCTAGAAAAAACATACAAAGAACATTTGAACAGCGTGGTCATCGAGAGAGAGCAGCTACTCCAAGACCTGGAAGATCTGAGAAATGTGTCTGAAAGTCAGCAGAGCCTACTGTCTGACCAGATACTTAAGCTGAAGAGCAGTCACGAAAGAGAACTGAGGGACCGCGAGCAGGTCCTATACCAGGCAGGGGCCACGGAGCACCTGGCCAGCCAGCAGCTAGAAAGGCTAGAAAAGGAACATGGCCAGGAAAGGCAGGAAATGATGTCCCAGCTTCTAGCCATGGAGAGCATCCACAGAGTGACCTGTGAGAAAGCAGATCGAGAGAGGGCTGAGATGAGTGCAGAAATCTGCAGGCTCCAGGATCAAATAAAGGAAATGCAGCAGGAAGCACCTCCTCTCTCCAGGCTTCACAGTGGCTGCCAGGCAATGGCAGGGGAGGAGGCAGAAGGAAGCAGAGCCCTGTCCCTGCTTCAGCAAGGAGAGCAGCTGTTGGAAGAAAATGGAGATGTCCTTGTAAGCCTGCAGAGAGCTCATGAACAAGCAGTAAAGGAAAATGCAAAAATGGCTACTGAAATTTCTAGATTGCAACAAAGACTGCAAAAATTAGAGCCAGGGTCAGTAATGTCATCTTGTTTAAGTGAGCCAGCCACTGAGTGTTTTAGAAATTCTGCAGAACAAACTGAGCCATTTTTATTGCAAAACCGAATGAAGCAAGTAAAAGGTGTAACCACACAGCACAGCCTAAGTGACCTGCAAGACGATGAGGTCCAGGACCTGGGAAGTACAGGCATGAGCTTGGTGCAGAGACAGGAGATCAAAAGAGAGGAGTCTGAAGCTTCAATGGAGAGTTTTTCTGAGCTTGAAAATAGTGAAGAGACCGGGACTGAATCCTGGGACCTGAAGAATCAGATCAGTCAGCTTCAGGAACAACTAGTGATATTACGTGCAGATTGCGATCGAGCTTCCGAAAAGAAACAGGACCTACTTTTTGATGTTTCTGTGCTAAAAAAGAAACTAAAGATGCTTGAGAGAATCCCTGAGGCTTCTCCCAAGTATAAGTTGTTATATGAAGATGCCAGTCAAGAAAACGACTGCCTTCAGGAAGAGTTGAGAGTGATGGAGTCACGCTATGATGAGGCACTGGAAGATAACAAGGAACTCACTGCAGAAGTTTTCAGGTTGAAGGATGAGCTAAAGAAAGTGGAGGAAGTGACTGAGACATTCCTTAGCCTGGAAAAGAGTTACGATGAGGTCAAAACAGAAAACGAAGAGCTGAATGTTCTGGTTTTGAGACTTCACGGAAAGATCAAGAAGCTGCAGAAAAGAGCAGTCCTGCAGTGTGACTGCTTCTCCTCTTGGAAAGCCCAGTTACATAACCTAGAAGTTGAACCTGATGAAAAGGAACTTGAACTCAGTCAGACACTGGAAGAGTGTGTGTCCACGGCTATGAGTGTACACCATATTATAGAAGAACGCAGACAGGAACACCAGTACCTTCAGCAGGGCAACATACAGCTCTCAGAAAAAGTAAAAGCCCAAGAAATTGCCTGGTTACACAGAACAATACAGACACCTCAAGAAAAGTCTAGTGTACAGAATCAAGTTATACTGGAAGAAAACACTGCTCTCCTAGGCCTTCAAGACAAACATTTGCAACGTCAGGCCACAATAGCAGAGTTAGAACTGGAGAAAAAAAAGCTACAGGAGCTGACTAGAAAATTGAGGGAAAGAGTCACAACTTTAGTTAAGCAAAAAGATGTATCTTCTCTAGGAAAGGAGGAGGAAGAGCTGAAGGCAATGATGCATGACTTGCAAATCACATGCAGTGAAATGCAGCAAAAAGTTGAACTTCTGAGGTAATGTATGTGCCTTCTAGACTTCACAGAATCCCACAAGAGCACCTCACCAAATCTAACTTCCACTGCTTGCTGTGCCTAGAGAAACTAACCTGTTAGTCTTCAAGAAGAGAGCAGTCCTCTAGACTTCCTTCTGCTTCTGTGTTGTATTAACAAATAGAATAACCTTGCCTGTGAGGTATTCCCTTCCTCTGTAGCAGATAAATGTTGTTCACGTAGGATGTGAAAGTTCAAAATGGGGAGTGTTTGTTGTGTAACCATATGTATCACCAATGTATGTCTTTAACTCTTTTCTACCTCTTCTTCATTTGGATGGATAGATTTTTTTGCCAAATGTTAGTTAGTGGCTTTCTTCATTTTGATAAAACATATCATATGAGAATGAATGCCTTTGTGTATTAACTCACTTGATAGATAAGAACTCTCTTTTTATACTAACATAGGAAAAATGTTGTTTGTGGCTTATAGTTTTTACTTAGATCACTTGAAGTTCATGCTGATATTGATATGTACAATGGAAATTTATCTTAAACATATCATTTTATTGAGGAGCTAGCAGATTCTAATAAATATGCTTGAAGAATAAAGACAAGAGAGGAGCTAATTTGAACCACTGCTCACTTGACTTTATAAAATATGATTGCATTAGTCTTTAGTAAATTTGGTTTTTCAAAAAAAAATCTTGTAAAATATTTTATAATGTCTGAAATATCTTAATGATATGAAACAAAATTTAATTCTGAATATAGATTTTTCTCTTCTTACTTCAGACCACTTTTAGCTCTAAAAATCAAAATATAATGAGATAAATGAAATCACAAAGCAAACATTAGTGTACATATTTCAGTGTGGCCCTTTGATTTGTGTAGTGGATTTTCTCTTTCTAAGTACCCAGGGGTCTAAAACTAAAGCTATTGCAAGGGTACTTCAAAAAGTTCATGGAAAAATAGAATTAAAAAATAATATGAATTTTTCAGTTGAACCTTTTGAAGTTCCCTAGTACAGCTTAGTAATACAGCTTATGTCTATGCAGAGCAGGTAGGACTTGAGACTGAGATAAATGAAGTCATCTGCTCAAAGCAGTCTTCTTGCCATTGGGGAAACCAACAACCATACTAGGCATTGAGTGTCACTTCCTGTCTCCATGCTCAAGCTTTTTAGCCACATCTCCATAACATCATTTAGTGAAATTCTTACTTCCCAAAAAGAAATTCAGTCAATATGTTATAACTTGATTTCCAAGTTCTAAGAGACTACTAATTTAGACTTCTCTTTTGAACTGGCATGGAATACTTCTTTTATTGGAAGTTACTAGAAAATATTTTCCAAAGATGCCAAATGACTGCCTTGTTGTAACTATTTTTTTAACCTCTGTACTCCAGATATGAATCTGAAAAGCTTCAAGAGGAAAATTCTATTTTAAGAAGTGAAATTACTACTTTAAATGAAGAAGATAGCATTTCTAACCTGAAATTAGAGAAATTAAATGGATCTCAGGAAGAAATGTGGTAAGACATATACTTAAATTTTCTAAGACATTTGCAAGGACTAAAACTATTTTACTTCATCTTTTAAAACCTCACTCTTAAATTATATTTTTATTGTTTTTTAGGCAAAAAATAGAAACTGTAAAACAGGAAAAAGCTGCAGTTCAAAAAATGGTTGAAAATTTAAAGAAACAGGTAAGAAAATATTTAATATTTCCCAATGTTCCTTGTTTCTGAGGTTTTCATTTTTTATCTGAAATTTCCAAATATATGTAGCACATGCTATGAGAATAACATAAAGTTAATGATGGTAAGGTTGTAAATTATGAGTTTGAAAATGGAAACTCACCTCATGCTGGCTCTAAAATAGGTTCCTTTTTTTGTGAAATAATGTGTATATTATTTCTTGACCCTAAGTGCTTAATGCAATCTTTCTAATCAGTGGGTGTGGGGAGGTGATACCTCCAAAACCATACCTATGAAACTCAATCTAGCCCTTGTGTAGTTTCAATTAATGTTGGCTCCTTCCTTTTTCCTCATCATGACTGAAGGCAGAAAGTTAAGGACAGAATTTCACCATTATAGAATGCCAGTTAATGAGCATATCATTTCACAGAATTGTGATTTATTCAGATAGTTTGTGCCATTCAGTGCTCAATTTGTATAATCATAAAACATGTAGTTGTGCAAGGGAAATCTATTTTAGAATCTGTCTGAAATAGTCAAAAATAAGGACATACTGGGGCAAGAAGTGTTTTCAGTACTTGAAATAAACAAGGTGTTAACATCCAAAATATATTTTGTCTCTTACAAATAAATGGCAAAACCTACTTGAAAATAGGCAATTGATATGAATGGTCAAGAAGAAAAGAATGCAAAATATAAAAAGATGGTTAACCTTATTAGTATTTAGGGAAGTATAAACTGAGTTTCTTTTTTCACCTATTGAATTAGCAAAAATTAAAGACTGATATCATCTAGAATTAAGAATGGGTATACTCATACATGTTGATAGAATTATTAGGTGGTAGCAGCACGGAGAAGACACCTGGGGGATGTCTATCAAAACAGTAATGTATATGAAGACCTTCTAACCCTGCAGCTCCACTTGAAAAACAATGATCCTACATACAAAATGCTCCCACGTACGAGGGGTCTCCAAAAAGTCCATGGGGAGAAAAAGTTCATGGAAAGATTTTTATTCTAATTTTATTTTTTCATGAATTTTTTGAAGTACCCCCATATAAATGAGTTTTCCAAAAGATCCTTTTGTTTCTTCATAATTAAAAGAAATAATGATAACAAACCTATATGTCTGTCTACATATGAGGGAATGGATAAATGCATTATGGAACATCTTGCTCCATCGACTGTCCTACCGATACTAAAAAAATATAGAATGTGGTGATTTCTGAACACACCAACTTGGAAAGATAGGAGTCTGTAAGATATTATGAGTGAAAAAAGCAGTCTGTGCAAAAATGAAATGATCCAATTTTTTGCTAAAAAGAGGAAAAGATTCTCTATGTGCATATGGGTTCTGTATATGCATGGAAAATGATCTTGAGGGATAAGTGTCCCACTGTGAAAAGTGGGTGCCCCCGTGGAGTGGGATTAGATTGAGTGTCTCAATTCCTCATACACTTCTGAATTGACTGAATTTGTAATAATGAGTATGCATTATTTCTGTTATCAAATATGTGTATATTTTTAAACTTTACGTAGGGGAAAAACAATTAGTCTCTAAATCTGTTTTTAGCAGAAGTAGGGTAACAACTTTTTAAAGCTTATTTTAATTTTAATTAGATTTCAGAATTAGAAATCAAAAACCAACAGTTGGATTTGGAAAATACAGAACTTAGCCAAAAGAACTCTCAAAATCAGGAAGAATTACAAGAACTTAATCAACGTCTGGCAGAAATGCTATGCCAGAAGGAGAAAGAGCCAGGAAACAGTACATATGAGGACTGGGAACAAGAAAAATCTAATCTGAAAGAAGAACTGGAACACTGTAAAGTGCAGGTATGGTATGTAGTACCTGACAGCTTTTTTTCAGGAAATCCCAAGAAATAGAAGAAATGCTTATGTTAAATTTTTTATACATAAAGCCTAAATAATTAAAACAGTGTGGGACTAGCATATGAATAGACAAATAGATAAGTGGGAAAGAAAATCTAGAATTAGACCCAAATGCAAATGGAAACAGTATATAACAAAGGTGGTTTCTTAAACCATTGGGGTAAAGATGGACTTTTTAATAAACGATTCCTGGATAACTGGGTAGACATTTGAAAACACATGAAATTAGATCCATATTTCATACCATACAGAAGGATAAACTCTAACTGGATTAGGAGTCTAAATATAAAAAAAAAAACCCAAAAAACTATACAAGTACTAGAAGAAAACATGGGTGAATTTACCTTTAACCTTGGTGTAAAGTAAGGCTGTCTAACTGACTCAAAAACTAGAGGCAATAAAAGAAAAAACTGGTTACATTTTTAAAAATTTTGCATGGCAAAAAAATATCATAAACAAACTCAAATGACAACTGACAAACTGGGAGAAAATATTTACAACATATACCACAGAGAAAAGGGCTAATATCCCTACTAGTAAAGAACACTTACAAATTGAGTAAAATAGGACCAAACCTTGATAGCAAAATACGAAAAACATAAACAATTCATACAAAAAATTAAAGTAGCCCTCAGACCTATGAAATATGTTCAGAATCACTCACAATTAGAGAAATGTAAATTAAAACAACACTGATATGTAGTTTCTCACTTATAAGGCTGGTCATAATTTAAAAATATGACATTATACTCTATTGGCAAAGTAGTGAGGAAACAGACACTTTCCTGTGTTGCTGGTGGGGTACGAACTGATATTATCCTTGTGGAGGTCGATTTGGCAATACCTAACAAAATTGCACATGTACTTACCTTTTGCCCCAGCAGTCTCACTTCTAGGAATCCACCCTATATATAAATAAACCTCCAGCAATATGAAAATTCATATGCACAGGGTTAGTCACTGCAGCATTGTTTGTAATTGCAAAAAGAGTGGGAAAAAAACCTAGATGCTCACACTTAGGAGAATGATTAAATAAATGTGGTGGGTATGTTGATGCCATGCAGTAGTACTATGCAGCTATTTAAAGAAAAAAAAGAAAAAGAATGATAAAGATCTCTATTTGTATGAAATGATTTTCAGGACATATTGTTAAGTGAAAAAAGAAAAGCACAAGATTATATATATTATATTTTCATGCATGTAAGAAAGAGGGGGCAAGAAAATACTGTACACCTTTATCTGCTCTTTTGTGTAAAAGAAATACAAGAATGATGAACCAGATACTACAGGGATGGTTAGAGAGTGGGTGGGAAAAGGATGAGTTGGAATGTGGTAGAAGGGATGAGGAAGGGAGGGATATTTCTGAGTTTATTTTTTCGTGTGGCTCTGACTCTTAGAACCATAATAATGGTTCACATGCTGTTCACATGCCCCCACAATAAATGCACTAATAAAACCAATCAAGACAGGGTGGGAGGAGATCAAAATGAAACAGAAACACTAATAAATGAACCTAACTGTATTATAAATAGATACTATGACCATACTGGGGAAGAAAAGAAGTACTTTGGAAATTAGTATCTTGACTGGATACCATCCAGGCTAAAGACAAAAAGAATTGTACATAAATGCTATAGTAACCTAGTCAGTAAATGTGATTCTCGTGGGGGTGTGGGTTAGTAATTCTCAAACTACTTCTGTATACTAGAATTGGACAAATAAGTAAGTACATTGTAGACAATAAGAACTGGATTTCTCACTGTTGGAGAAGGAAAATGTAAATGGGGAAATGGGGAGGTTAAGATGAGCCCTCTGATGTTGGATTGGGATCTGAGATATTGGTATACATTTGTGGTTTCTAATACATATTAAGAGTTAGAGAGATACAGAAATACAAATGTGTGTATATGCATGGAGTACCCAGATCTTAGTTTCTAAACATCATTCTCCTATAAAAGGAACCAGCATTCCTTGGAAAAATGATTGATTCCAGGGCTGGAGCAGAGAAAATACAAATTGAGCCTGGAACATATCATCGTGCCAGAAAAAAAAAAGTGCTCCAAAAAAAAGATGGGACATGTCGAAAGGACACAGGCCCCAACCTGAAGGAGCTCCTTGTGGCCAAAGCTTGAACAATTTGATCAACACAATAAATAATGTTAGTATAGAATAAAATAGGTAAAATTATAAAATAAATTTGAATACAGTAAATATCTGAGTCCATACTGATATAAAAATTGATTAAATAAGTGGGGAGAAATGACAGCTCTTTCTTACAGTAGAATTCCAATTAATAAATGTATGAAGAAAGAAACAGAGATGCATTATTAGGCAAACACCAAAAGTAATTATTGTTGTAGACAAAATCCACTGATAGGCTAAAATTAATAAGCAGAAGTTTGAGGAGAAACAGGATTTGCATCTCAAAGTTTCTCCCCTGAGAGAAACATGCAAAAACTACCTTAGAAATCATTTTCATGGAGAGAAATTAGAGAGGATACAAGAAGATGGAAAGATATCCCATGTTCTTGGATTGGAAGAATCAACATAGTGAAAATGGCCATACTACCCAAAGTGATATATAAATTCAGTGCAATCCCCATCAAAATTCCAATGACATTTCTGTCAGAAATGGAAAGAACTCTCCAGATATTTGTATGGAATAACAAAAGACCACGCATAGCCAAAGCAATGCTGAGCAAAAAAAATAAAGCTAGAGGCATAACACTACCTGACTTTAAACTATACTACAAAGCTATAATAACCAAAACAGCATGGTACTGGTATAAAAACAGACACATTGATCAATGGAACAGAATAGAGAATCCAGAAATCAACCCACACACTTACGGCCATCTGATCTTTGACAAAGGCACCAAGCCTATTCAATGGGGTCGGGACTGCCAAAAAAATGATGTATTTTCTCAGACCACAATGGTTTAAAACTAGAAATCAATAACAAACGAAACTTTCAAAACTATACAAACACATGGAAATTAAATAACATTCTACTTAACGACATATGGGTCCAAGAAGAAATCAAGCAGGAAATTAAAAAATGTATTGAAACTAATGAAAATAATGATACATCATACCAAAACTTGTGGGATACAGCAAAAGCAGTATTAAGGGGGAAATTTATTGCATTAAATGCTTACCTCAGAAAAATGGAAAGATGGCAAGTGAACAACCTAACACTGCATCTTAAAGAACTAGAAAAACAAGAACAATCCAAACCTAAAGTTAGCAGAAGGAAAGAAATCATCAAGATCAGAGCAGAACTTAATAAAATTGAAACCCAAAAAACAATACAAAAGATCAACGAATCAAAAAGTTGGTTTTTTGAAAAGATAAATAAAATCAACAAACCACTAGCACGGCTAACAAAACGGAAAGGACATTCTTGGGTGGGAGGGGAGAGAGGGAGGAAGGAGGGAGGTGTCGGTGATGGGCCATAATAATCAAATACATTGTATATTGACAAAATAAAAATTTAACGAAAAAAAGAAATCATTTTCATGCCGTTTAAGTGGAAAGTCTTAAAAAATAGCTTTGAGTATAAGGATAAATGGTCATAAAACACTGTGTCATTGAATTTGTATTATTGTTTCCTTAATATGGTCTTTTGAGAACCTAGTAAGTTTCCCCAGCCTACGTGAATATATCTGTAATTTGGCTTTTTTATTTTTCTCTTAGTCCTCTGCTTTAGTGTCTTCTCTGGAGGCAGAACTTTCTGAAGTTAAAATACAGGCCCATATTGTAGAACAGGAAAACCTCCTTCTCAAAGATGAACTGGAAGAAATGAAACAGGTAAGACTACGTGCTCCTTAGGGGGGTTTGTGGTGCAGTTTGTCCCTGATGGTCTGGTGTTTCTAGCCACCAAATGTCTTTTGTATTGTGTCCTGTCAACTAGCTTATTGCTTAGTAAAGGTGAGGACTTAAAGTACAAGTCTGTTTGTAAAGGCTCCTATTGCTCATTCTCCACCTGTTGTAGTTATGCAACCTATCTATGCTGTAGGCTCTAAAATTCTGTTACTGTAAATGAATCCCAACCACTTCAGTTTAAGAAACATATTGTTCTTCTTTCTCCCAGCCAGGTGATAAAGTAACAGAAATTTGTCTAAAAAGAGGGTGTCTTTCTTGCTCATAATTTTCATAACTTGTTCCCTCTGATCTGTGAGACACAGATGAAGCTGGTTCCTCTTATGTCTTTTTCTCATAGCCAGTTTGAGGCATCTGTCTCAGGAAGAAGAGTGAATTCTAGCACATTATCAGGGATGCAGTCTCATTGTGAATTTGGCTTTCAGAAGCCTGTTTCAAAGTTTCAAACAAAGGCCTAATTTTACATATAAAAGAGGGCTCACCTTAAAAATTATATGCTAAAGATTGTCCTATTTCATTCTTAAGTAATTTCCAGTATGTACAGAAATCTTTCAGTTGGAACAATACTGGTTTATAGTATGAGAATTTAGTTGTTCCATTTTATTTATTTGCTCCACCATCAGATTAATATTATGGCACCCTGAGATTATAAAATTCTCTTTCTTGCGTCTCTCTGTTCAGCCTGTAAGCATAAAGGTGTCCTTCCCTGAATGCTGAAACACTGAATCTGTACCACCTAGTGTTAAGTTTATGTTAATCTCTAATTGACTCATATAATTCTTGCTTTCCTAATAGGATTATAAGACCCTCAGGGTATTTGTGTCTTTCATAAAGCCTGTTACCCAATAGGTGGTACCCAATAGGTGCTTTATAAGACCTTTTCAAGTCACATACTGCTATGCAAAATATATCTGTTCTGCCATAAGTAGAGAAGCTCTCTGTCCCATATAAACGTGCCAGAAGTTAACATTCATAGGGCCTGTCTGTGGTGTATTCCAAATATTCCAAAGCTATTGTTACCAAGTTTATCTTAATTAACTTGGGCGTACTTTTTTTCCTTTACCTTTTGAAAGGCTGTTGTTCAGCCTGTAATATGATAGTGATCAGTTCCAAATCCATAGCATGGGACTAACCCTGTGCATATGAATTTTCATATTGCTGGAGGTTTATTTATATATAGGGTAGATTCCTAGAAGTGAGACTGCTGGGGCAAAAGGTAAGTACATGTGCAATTTTGTTAGGTATTGCCAAATTGACCTCCACAAGGATAATATCAGTTTGTACCCCACCAGCAACACAGGAAAGTGTCTGTTTCCTCACAACTTTGCCAATAGAGTATAATGTCATATTTTTAAATTATGACCAGCCTTATAAGTGAGAAACTACATATCAGTGTTGTTTTAATTTACGTTTCTCTTAATTGTGAGTGATTCTGAACATTTTTCATAGGTCTGAGGGCTACTTTGCTCAGCTAGAGAACAGAAGGAAAGGAGCAAAATTGAGTGTAAAATAACATGATGAGGACATCATCTGGCACATTTTTATTGCATTTTTTTACAGAGGCATTGGTATAAATAGTGAGATGGACAAACAGTGAGTCCTGTCTGCCTTTGGTAGGAAGTTGCTTCATCAGGCAGTGGGACTCTTAGATCACAGGAGTAGGATAATGTCAGCCTGTTGTTGCTGATGAACATCTTGGACCTAGAAAATATGTGCCACTCTGTGTGATATCATGATTTATAGTTCACAGAGCACTTTTACACGTATTATCTATTACACTGAAAAGAAACACAAATAGCATCAGCAGAAGTCACATGCCAATCTGTTGACACCTAAAACGGTATCAAGCTTTCTGGATGTTTAGGGGGTGGGAAGGAAGGCAGTAGGAAAGGAGAAGGTCTTTTATTAAACCAGTGCCCAGGTACTTTAAAATACATTTTTCCATATATTTCTGACCTGTTCCAATTTGTAAGGTATGCTGGATTTGCTGCCCCTTGAAAACAAGATTCAACCCTTAAAGTACATTTTGTCATAATATTCCTAAAGCTAAATGTGAAAGAACTTCAGGTGAGAAGTAGGAAGATGGCCATTAAATAATAATGATAATAAAGAATTGAAAATTAGAAAGCCAAGTGAACTGGAGGGAAGTTAAAAACTTGTAAACTATGGGAAGGATTTAAGAAGTATAAGAAACAATCAGCCTCTTTAAAAAGCAGTGGTTCTCATGGGCCGGCCCGGTGGCGCACGGGATAGTGCGCCGCTTGGGAAGTGCGGCGGTGCTCCCGCCCGAGGGTTCGGATCCCACATACAGACCGGTCCCAGAAAAAGTGACTCCTTAAAATTAGATGTAGAACAGGGAGTCAGGAAAGTTACTTCTTTCTTTTACCTTGCCCTGTTCCCCCACATAAACAGATGGCACATGTTCTTAACAACGTAAGTGGAGACCTATAAGTTAAGGCTAGATATATTTGCAAAAATGTCCTCTTACCTCTCTTCTCTTCCTGAAACAGTTGGCAAAATCAAGTCTTTTAGAGCACACAATTGCTACATTGAAGGAGGAACAGAAGTCTTGGGAGCACCAAAGTGAGAGCTTAAAGTCACAGCTGGTGGCATCACAGGAAAGGGTATGTGGACAACTCTTGTTTTATCAGTAAGCATTTTCCTATATAATCTAACAGAAATCCCAGTGGAAAGAATGTGAGGGGTGAGAATTGCTTCCTAACCGTGGCATATTTAGCATTGTCTGTGAACATTCTTGGTTTTCACAGCTAGGGAAATGATGCTACTGGCATCCAATGGGTAAAGTCAAAGATGCTGCAAAACATCCTGCAGGTGTGAATTATCCAGCCCAGAATGTCAGTAGTACCAGCGTGGATGCTGAAAAGGAACAAAAACAGTCTTTAGTTTGTCTTGATTCCATAAAGTGGAGAGGAGGAAGCCAGTGTGTCCACACCAGCAACAGTTTAGTGGCATGTCATTTAGGCATCTTCTGAAGGGAAAGGCACATGGAACAAGCTGAAAAACACTTACTTGTTTATCTTTAAATTTGCCCTTGTATTGATATCTTGTATATAGTTTGTGCCAATTCTTTAGTCTTGACTGAGAATTTTTGAAAAAATTTTTCTAGTTAAAAAAAAAAAGTAGGAAAATGTTATGCTGTAGGTGCACAAGTTAAATTAATGACAGAATGGCAGTGTGTTATTTTACCCTGAAGATGAAATGGAAAGCTAGGCCCATTATTTAAGTGTCTCTCTGGTTGAGTCTGAGTAGACATTTCAGCAGTCAATTGGGGAGCAGAGAGAAGCCAACAGAGAACATTTTGTTAAAGTTAATTATAGTCTACTAGAGTTTATATGTCCTCTGAAATATCTACAGATAGGAAAATACCAGCAGCCATGAAAATGCTCTGTTTATAAATACCTCTTTATAAATACAACCATGAGAACTGAAGAGAGGGCTCATTTGTTTATCTCTTACAGCTGCACAGATGTCCTGATCTCTCTGACTTCCAGCAAAAAATTTCTAGTGTTTTAAGCTACAACGAAAAACTGCTGAAAGAAAAGGAAGCTCTAAATGAAGAATTAAATAGCTGTATTGATAAGGTAGTAATAATAATAAGACTTTACCATCATCATATAGTATGCACCATAATGAACACTTCTCTATGGACAGTGGCACATGGGCCTCCCGTGTTAGCCTCAACGTTCTAAAGTCTCCTGGAGTAGCATTTCTGCTGATATTTTGTGGCCTTAGATATCCTGAAGCCATGATTGTGACAGAAGTCTACGTTAGTTTTCAATAATTATATTATTAGATGCAATAATATAAAGTTTGTCTCATTTTAATACAGCACAGTGCTACCTAATATATATTATTTATATATCACTGTTCTATTATATATAATGTAAATAATATACATATTGTATTTAATAATCTAAGATGTACTTCCTATACAAGCACCTTTTTTTCTATTGTATTTTCCCTAACAGATTAAAAAACACTGCTTTTTCCCCCCACCTGCCTTAATGGGTTTTTCATATTTTCTTATTATGGTATGCTCTTGAGATTTATAATTGTCTTCCAGCCCACCATCTGCCATCCTTAAAATATGAGGCAGTGAGAAAAAAGAAAAAAGGAAAACTCCCCAGAAAAAGTGACTCCTTAAAATTAGATGTAGAACAGGGAGTCAGGAAAGTTACTTCTTTCTTTTACCTTGCCCTGTTCCCCCACATAAACAGATGGCACATGTTCTTAACAACGTAAGTGGAGACCTATAAGTTAAGGCTAGATATATTTGCAAAAATGTCCTCTTACCTCTCTTCTCTTCCTGAAACAGTTGGCAAAATCAAGTCTTTTAGAGCACACAATTGCTACATTGAAGGAGGAACAGAAGTCTTGGGAGCACCAAAGTGAGAGCTTAAAGTCACAGCTGGTGGCATCACAGGAAAGGGTATGTGGACAACTCTTGTTTTATCAGTAAGCATTTTCCTATATAATCTAACAGAAATCCCAGTGGAAAGAATGTTCCAGGTAGAAAGTGGCCTAATAGGGCTCTGAATGATTTAATTTCAGCAATATTTATACATCTTTACAGTATGGTAAAATAATTTAAACATTTCCTTCAAAGTTCATTAATTATGAAATTACTTCTTATGAAAGTTTGAGAATAGTGTATAAAAATGACTGCTTATTTCTAACTTAGAAATAGGATTTCTAAGGCAGGTTCATGCCCTATTATAAAGATCTCTATCAACATTTCTTTCACAAATTTAAATGTTTTAAAATTGAAATATTAGTGTAGAGTAGGATTCTCCAGGCATATTTTTTATTTTCAAGAGGTCATTTACAAACCAACACTGCTGGCTAAACGTAATTCCTACAAAGTTCAGTGAAACTATCTTCTGTGTCAGTTAGTCATTTGTCCTGTAAGATATCACTTGGTAATCTACCAGATGACTATATCAGCAATACCGTGCTCCAGGCATCATTCATTATTGTCCTAAATACAATTTAACATTCTGTAAACTTACATAATATCCTAGGTTTCCACTGAGCTACTGAAGCTAGAGCTGGATATAGTAAATAGAAACAGAAGGGACCTTGGAGTTCTCTTGTCGTTGTTCATTCATTCCTGCACATGCTACAGGTGTAACCACGAGGGTTTGTGTAGCATTGTAAGATTGTTCTCATGATGCAGGTTCAGAATTTAGAAGATACCCTGCAGAATGTAAACCTGCAAATGTCCCGGATTAAATCCGACCTACGAGTGACTCAACAGGAAAAGGAGGCTTTAAAACAAGAAGTGATATCTTTACATAAGCAACTTCAGAATGCTAGTGACAAGGTAATTTCTTTTCTTTTTTTATTGAGATGTTATTTACAGTAAAGTGCACAACTTTTAAATCTATAACTTGATTATGTTTATATGTATATGTATGCATAATTAAATATATGTGATATTTTACGTATCTCTGTGTGCGTGTGTATGTTTGTATTTGTGTAACAACCACGTAAATCAAAATATAGAGAACATTTCCAGCACCCAGCAGACTTTCTTGTGTCCACTCCAATTGGTAACACAGGAGAACCACTTTTGTACCCACTGCCACTGCCACTGTAGGTTAGGGATGCTTGTTTCTGAACTTCATGTAAATGGAACCATAGTGATGCAAAAAAGGTAATTTCTTGTATTGAGCAAATCAGAAGACCATGGCTGAGTTGAATTTTGAAGCAATAAAAGTAATACATTTTCTTAGTTAAGTGATAGATAAAACCGTTCATGTGACCCTAAAAAAGTTAAGCCAAATAAAACATTGTAAGAAATTAATCTAGGAGTACACACAATAGACTTCAAAAAAGTAAAACTTGTACTGAAAAGGGAAACCATGGCATAAAACAGTAGTACTGAATTTCAGGAGATAATTCATTGCTACCAAATGGGTTTTTGCTGTGACACCAGAAAGTTCAGGAAGAGCTGGTTAAAGCGTTAGCTAGTTGACACAAGGTGGTGTTATTGAAAGTGTGTCTCATTTTAATATATCACAATGTTGCTTAATATGTGTGCAAATAAATTCAGATCAATTGAGTTATTTTATCTTGGTGATACATTTTTTTTCCCCTGTGGTGGTTTTTTCTTTTTAATGCAATAGTTGTTTCCATTTTTTAAAATTACTTCTGGGCTGACATTTTTCTCAAAATGAGATTATACCTTTTTTCCTTTTTCATGTTTGGCTTAAAATGCAGGAGGCTTATTTAGTTGTGTTACATTTTTTATTTATTAATCATTTTCAGGATCAAAAAAATCACTTTGATAGCATAAAGCATATTCCTTAATTCAGGCCTTAATTACAGGGACAATCTGTGCTTTGGATTCTAAAAAAAGGATGTGATTGCATACGTGAAAATGAAACTGGAATTGAGCTTATGAAAGCTTTCAAGTTGGCAGTGCATTTCAGACTTCTGTTTGCGTCCTCTGTTAATGAAAAGTCTTTTATCTGGGTTCAAAGGTAACTTCATAAGAATGAGGCCATTTTTTAAGCCACTAATCTCTATGCACATGGGTCCTATATGGAACTGTGACTTGCCCTATAATCATATTTGCTATTGGACTTGACATAACTGTTTTGCCAAAGACCATTTTAAACAGAGAATTTTCAAATCTTTTTTAAAATCAAACTCCAAGAATATTGTTTTATTCATATCTCTGTATACATACATGCACTCCTATTAGACAAAAGTAAAGGTTGAAAGGTGTTTACTAAAAATTGTTGTCATTAGTTAAATATAACACCTTTTTCAAAACAGAACTTACCCATCAGCTTGTTTTTAAAGCTTAACTCTGCAATTCTCTCTTAAGAACTGGGCCCCAGAAATATCCACCCATCCTTCAGGGTTCCATAAGCAGCAGAAAAGTCTGTCTTGGGACAAGTTGGATCATCTGATGAACGAGGAACAACAGCTGCTTTGGCAAGAGAATGAAAGACTCCAAACTGTGGTACAGAACACCAAAGCGGAACTCACATACTCCCGGGAGAAGGTACCTTGAGGAGTTGCACATGGTGGCATGTGTTTGAAAATGATCATTTTCCTGTGAAAATGATCAATGTTTGACATGACTGAAATAGCTCTAGGGTGTGGATTTGAGTATCCTGCTATGGAAGACTTATTTTAAGAATGTATAACTTATCATTTACTTGCATATAATGTTATCCTGATATGTTTATAAAGTATTTTTCATTTTGTATAAAGCAGTTCTATATTAACATGTATTTGTTACTTTAATCCTCATATCCAAAATATAGACTCATGGGAATTATGTTAACTATATATATATATATACTTCATTCATATTGGCTTAGCCACCAAGACTAGAAGTATGAAAATGGCAAAACTAGACTTAGATCTTGTAGGTGCAACCAAAACCTTGTAAGAGAAAAAAGTGTCCATTTTTAAAGACTCGGCATTTCAAGGTTAGACTGATCTTTAAAGGTCATCTTTTCCAAAGACCAAACTGATGCTTGTATTCTTTATGTCTGCTATATAGTCAACCAATAATATTTAACCTATGCTTCAACACCTCTTTTTAAGGAGGAACTCTCTGAAGAGTCAAATATTCATTTAGAACTGCTGTCACTGAAGTGGCAGTGTTGACAGACATGGTCCTTGTCCTCACGGAACTTATTGGACATAAATTCATTGTTTCAGGTGTGACCAGTCCAATACAGAATAAATGGCACTGGTATCTCACTCACTCCTAAAAGTTATGCTCACGGCAGAGCAAGTGTTTAGGACTGTGGTGTCTGTTTTCTTAGCTGCCACATCACACACACTGTTGACTCCTGGAGATTTAGTGGACCCAGAAGTCCCCTCTTCCCTATCTTGTCCTCACAGTGTTGGGTTTGTTGACCCAAGTAAGTTTACCTAGAAAGGATCTTTTGAAATCCAGAAAAGTAAGCTTTAAGAATTGGCAGGCTTGACTAAAAAAGAAAGTGTTTTTATACAACAGAACCCAAGTGCTGAATAAAAAATTTCCTTATGTTTGCTGTTTGTTTTTTCCTGGCTGAATGATTAGCATTTCTTCCTCTTACATGTGTTCTTCTTAGGTCCGTCAACTGGAATCCAACCTTCTTCCCCACAAGCACCAAAAACATTTAAGCCCGTCAGGAACCATGAAACCCACAGATCAAGAAAAATTGAGCTTAAAGAGAGAGTGTGAACAGTTTCAGAAAGATCGATCTCCTACTAACAGGAAGGTGAGTTTTTGAGAGTATATACCATATGTCTGACCATAATATGTCCCTAAGTGTGTGTTTCTTCCCATGCATACTTCTAAGGAAATGATTACAATGGCATATTTTGGTTCTTCCTTCTATCTCTTTTATGCTTTTGTAATCTTGGCAAAATAGTATCATAGTTCTTTTTGATAGGATAATGGTTGATAAAAGAACAATTTAAGCTTTCATAAAGAAGATAGTTAATCATGTTCATTAGTCTGTATTAGCCATCTATTGCTGTGTAGCAAATTAAAACAACAGACATTTATTGTCTCTTAGTTTCTGTGGGCCAGGAATTCAGAAGCAGCTCAGCTGGGTTCTCTGACTCAGGACTGTCATGAGGCTGCACAGTCCAGCTGGCAGCCAGGGCTGCAGTTATCTGAAGGCTTCACTGGACTAGAGGATCTGCTTTCTGAGCTCACATAACTGTTAGCAAGAGGCTTCTGTTCCTTACTGGCTGATTGCCTGAGACCTCAGCTCCTCACCACCTGGACCTTTTCTCAGGATGTGGCCGCTGGCTTTCCCAGAGGAGTGATGAAAGACAGACACTGAGACCAACAGATTAAGATGAAAGCTGTAGTGCCTTCCATAACCTAATCTCAGAAGCGACATATCATTTCTGCTGTATTCTGTTCGTCAGTCAGACTAACCCTGATGTAGTGTGGGAGGGGACCACATAAGGGTATGAATATTGGGAATTGGGGACCACTGGGAGCCGTCTTGGAGACTGGCTAGCACATGGTCAGACCTCTGCAGCTCAGCTCAGATTGCTCTCTATACTCTGTCCCATGAAGTTAGAATTCTAGACCAGTATTATGCTGGGGATGGTTGATGTTACTTGTTTTTGTTTCTTTTTCTAAAGTGAAACTCAAGAGTTTTCACTATTATCTTCCTCCTCTTAAAAATATGGTTTGTTTAAAAGCCTGGGAAAACATAAACAATATTACTTTTGTTATAAAATACTCATATTAAAAACAACTGAAAGTTTTCATGACCATTTGCAGTAAGAAGGCTGGTTGTGCTCTAAAGCTGAAATGTCATTTGATTTCAGGTACCTTCAAGTAAATTTTTCAGAAAGAATGGGTTTCATTGCTGCTTACTGAGGAAGAAGACTTATGATAGGTTTTAAAATAACAATGAGTTTAAAATAGACCTGGAAATATTACACTTCTGTTTAACAATTCTTGCTGCTTTCCTCAGCTCTTTTTGATGAAAGCAAATATCAGCATTTTAGAATAGTCACGTTTTCTACTTAGCAATATTCTGAACCACAGTGTTCTCTACCTCATTAGATTCTTCCTGTAGTACAGAGAATTCCAAAAATGGATACACATAAAATCTTCAAATTTTATCCTTAAAATTGAGAAAGGAGTTATATAATCAGGTTTTATATATTCTCGATTTTAAACCTTTAAATTGCCTTAAGACAGTGCTTTTCCCCACTGCAGATCCATAGTAGAGGATCATGTAATTGATTTAGTAAAAAGCAGTATTTTTTGTTAGTAAAATATACTAGAAACTATCAAAGTCCCTGGCTCATGGTAAGGATAAGTTTTCAGTGATATGTACTTTAACTGTACATATATATGTATGTGTGGGTATGTGTACTGTTGTAAGATAACAAGTATTTCTTACAGTGGGTGGCATTGAAGTTGAAAAGCCAGCTGCCTTAGGAATCTGTTTTATGTGAGAAGTTGTGATTAAAACTAGATTACTTAAATGTAAGCAGTGCACTGAATCTCATTGTTGTTTTTCTCTGTCGAATTAACTTGGCTTTCTTCCAAGAGTTGAGGTTTCTGTCTAGCACAGATTTCTCAAAGTAGGCCAATTCAGGTGTTTTTGTTTTTGAAGGGAATTTTTTGTTTTTTTTTTAACAGGTCAGTCAGATGAATGCCCTTGAACGAGAATTAGAAACAATTCATTTGGAAAATGAAGGCCTGAAAAAGAAACAAGTAAAACTGGATGAGCAGCTAATGGAGGTAAGTTTTTAAGCAAATGGCTTCAGCTATGAAGAATATTTTAATCCATGAATGAGCCATTTGTTGGAAGAGACTAGACATGGCACTGAATTCCTTTATGAGAACTTAAGTACCCAGCCAAGCTGAATTATTTGATCTACCCTACCAAGTTTAGTAGACATTTTTGCTCAATTACAGAGTTATACTGTTTACAGAGAAAGGAATAATGTTGATCTAAAATGCAAAGACCCGGCTACCAAAAGAAACAAAAATAAAATAAAATAAAATAAAATGCAAAGACCCATACTTCAACAAATTCAGATGGCAGGGACTCTTGTCTGATACTGGCCAAGGGGCCCAGAGCACTCTTGACATCATTTTTTGTAACAGTTTCCTGGTACCTCCTATATTGCAGTGTTTTGTAGATATTATTGCTCCCTAACAAGTTCTTTAGTTAGGAAACCCATGAAGGGAATTTGAGAGCATTAGCATTTTGAAGTCTTATTTTCAAATGCTGCCATTGTTCATTACTACATCTATAACTGCCTTTTAAGAGAGGTACATCTGATAAACATAAAATCGATTTGTAAAACTTGACATTTTGGACATTGGATTCCAGTCTATTAGATTGTTTTCTGAATACTGAGTACAATTATAGGATATAAAACAACTTATGTACAAATTCTTCTGAATAAGTAAAAGTTTCATTGAGATACTTTGCTTTGGATAGATAAAAATATTACTCAATCCAACATTTAGTAATCTGTAAAATTTATATAAGGCAGAGAAGCATGAATAGAAAATGTCTTTTAGTGCTCTTAAAAAGTACCATGAATGCATATATGTTTAAAGCCAGAATTATGGGAAAGAAGGGAGATATTTAAATATTTTCTTTTATTAAGCTGGACATATACAAAGGTAACTTTAAAAATTAATGCTAGTGGGGGAGGGGTGTGGGTATGTGAACTGTACTTTCTGTTCCATTTTTCTGTAAATCTAGAACTGCTATAAAAATATAATTAATGCTTGGATTTTAAATGTGAAATGTGGGCAAACATATTGCATTGACATTTAAATGACCACTTAGGTTTCTGTCAATTTTCTGTTCTCTGATTTACCCACAAGTGAGGAGATTAGTGAAACTATAAATAGTGAAATCCAAATCATTTTTTCTTTTTCTGGCAGCATATGATAAATGTGTTTAAAACCTTGAGCTGCGGACTGTGCTTAAATGTAGATAGGCTTTTCTGATTAAATAATTACATACTCTAGTGAATAAGCTATCTGAAGCTGAGCCCAATATATCTAGCACCAAATTGGAAAGTCACAGGGTATACTTAATCACTGTGAGATCCTCTCCAAATGCTCTGCAGACAGCCAGTTCTCCTCCCACCTGTTCTTACTAGCCTTGGAAGGCCCCCTTCTCTCCCAGCCCCACTTTACATTATTAGCCATCATAAGCAATTTCCCTTCATTTTTTCCCCTGATCGAGTAGTGAATATTTGCTAATAGCTGAGGAAAATTGAGTGTTCTTGGCACTGGAACTGAGTGACTAAGGAAAAAAGCATGAATTTTCCATTTGAACACTGAAAAGAACATTTCATACACTATTCTAATGAAACTTTCATTAGGATATAAGACTGTACTATTAACTCTATAGATTTATACAGATTGAATTTCCTAACAGCTTTATTGAGATATAACTCAGATACTATATGGTTCATGCATTTAAAGTATACAGTTCAATCAGTTTTGTTGTATTACATTAATTTTTAACTGTGGCAAATATGTACATAACATAAAATTTGCCATTTTAACCATTTTTTAAGTGTACGGTTCAGTGGCATTAATTACATTCACAGTGTTATACAACAACTACTTCCAAAACCTTTTCATCAATCCAAACAGAAATTCTGTAACCATTCAATGTTAACCATTACCCCCCAGCCCTAAAAATTGGATTTTTATTTATATTATGATATCTATAAATTAGGCAAGTTTGAGAAATGTACACGGGTTTTTACACCATTTTTGTGCCCCAGCTCACCTGGGGCATTCCTCTCACTCTGCAGGGATTCTCACCTGGTTGGTATGAGGGGCAATAGATGGCAGGCAAGGAGATGTTCCTACATCAGAATCTTTGGGATCAGGGAATTTGAGAAAAGGTTTCTAGGTGATTCCAACCTGATATATGCACTCCGTTGAGGAAGGAGTCTTTCTTCATCTCTATGTACTAGTTTAAAAGTCACTGATCTAATGCAACACATACTCCACCCCAGTGTAATTGAAGATCACAAATCACTAGACTAGAAAGTGGAAGAATTAGGGCTAGAGTTTAACTCCCACTCCAGGGCTTTTTCAACTGTATGAGACATGTTCAATAAACAGTTCATTTTGAACATTCAGAAACAGGGTTACAGATTATACTGGCAGTTCTCAAGTCTGCTGTATACCTCTGTGATGGCCAACACTTCAGACACTTGAACAATAGGAATGTTTTATAGTTTATTTTCTGCATCTCACAGTGATAAGGGATTTAACATCAGAGCCATTCCATTCTGGACCTGGAATCTTCTAAACAGTTATATTGGGATGGGCGCAGATAAAGGTGGTAAGCTCACAAACCAGCCAAATTACAGTAGGTGAGGATGCGGTTGCAGAATTAGAACTATAAGACATTTTAATGTCTATAAAATTTGTATGCAGAAAAATGTAAATCTTGGTTCTCTATATGCTCTTATTCCTGTATATAATATACCCAATTGCTACTGTTCTTTCTCTTTTCATAACTCATACTTTTCTCTTTTTATAACTCCTGTAATTTTCTTTTGTTTGTTTTTGTCTGTGGCTAACCTGTGCCTAGAACTCAGTGGTTGGAAGTAGCAGAGAAGGGTGCAGTTCTCTGCCTGAGATAGTGTGTGAAGGTAGAACATTCTCTTTCAATGAACTTTCATAGCATGGAGACATCTCATTAAACTCCTCATTCATATAATTGTTAATGTTGACTGTAACGGTTAATAAATAAGAGCCAGTATTCATTTTCACTCTGCTTTGACTGTGGAATATGTCTGTTTACAGTTACATCAGGATTTTCCTCAGTATTTAAAGCATTCTGTATGAAGAAAATCATCCCACTGATATAAAAATCATGGGATAATTCTGTATATTTTTTATTCATGAAAATAAAGTGGTAGGTTTTCTGAATCTACAGCTAGAAGTACTTAAAAATGGGTAATGGCCCACCTCAGAAATTTAGATGTAATGAAATGGATAGTGGCTCTGAAGTTTCATGATAACATTTAATTATAGTTGCGTCTCAGAGTCCCTTTTCCCCCTTCTCACAGCCTGGAGGTGCTTCCTGAGTTTGGTACTTGCTCACGTTTGTTGCATGCCTTCCCTTGAGCCCTGTGTCTGCTGAACGTACCGACGGGTGTGAGGTGGCATGCTTCACTGGCCAGAATCCAGTGCATTCTCTTTTTCCTCGTCCCAGCTTTGACTGGCATGTTGATACACATACCGTTTCCTCATTGTCTTGAACAACTACTATTTGTGTTCCATGTACTCTAATTCCCAGACGTTCTAGGATGTCACCTTATGTCTCAGAATTGCCTGTCGTATTGTGCTCTTTAATTTAAGGGTATAACTACACATTGATAAAGTAAGACAGGTTAAAATAATTTAAGATGTAAGACAAAATTCTTCGAAAAAATTGCTAATTTGGGGTTGGAAAATATGTAGTCATTGAACATTTGCCTTTAGAGTCTTTATAACTGGTAAGTAAAGTGGCAAAACCCTAAAGCATAACCACTTTCTCCCCTGATTTCCCTGTTACAACCCCGGGGGTGGGGGCGGGGGGCTATTTGAGTGTTCTAGTGCAAGAAAAAATGAGATAGAATGCAGATGTATTATGTATCTCATGCCCTTATAGTCACTGGAGAGTGAGGAAGTGCTATTTAAGTCTAAAACTTTTAAGAAAGCCTGCTTATTTATTAACTATAGTATCTCTTAAGCAAAGGAACTCTTCCACCTACATCTGACTCAGGCTCATGTGCTGCCTTGTTCCAAGTTATCGGTGGGTATAAGGCCCTTCAATTCATAGGCCTCATTACTCTATGCTTCCTCGTTCAAGGGCAGCTCTGTGATTGCAGGCACTGTAGCTGACCAGGTGTTCATCCTTGTCCTTCAGATGCAGCAGCTGAGGTCCCCTGTGATGCTTAGCCCATCCCCCCATGCTTGGGATCTGCATCTGCTCCAGCAGCAAGCCTGTCCGATGGTGCCCAGAGAGCAGTTTCTGCAGCTTCAACACCAGCTGCTACAGGCAGAAAGGATAAACCAGCATCTGCAGGAGGAACTTGAAAACAGGACCTCCGAAACCAACATGCCACAGGTATGAAGCTCTTTTTTTCTCTAGTACTAAACTCAGATCACCTATCTAATTAATTTTACCTGTTTATTTGAAAGTTATACCAGTTCAAAGCTGGAGATAAAGAACCTAAATCTTCTGTCAGAAAGTTATACCTAAACTGTATTATAATTCCACAGAGCTGCAGTGTTTTGTTTTCTTTTGCAATGCTGCTTTTGAGCTCTCAGCTTCTGAGCTGGGTAATTAAGCTGGGTCTCCTTTGCACATTTGTAATAGATGACAAAGTATCCGGATCATTTGAGCATAGAGCACAATTGGCCTAACATTCTCATCTGATGCCAAAAATATTACATAACTCAAGTGTAACCCTAGTATATACACCACCTACAAAGCATCCTGAGCTTTCCTGTACCAGAGGAGTGCAGCCTACCAAGTTCCACGGAATTCACAAGCGGGGACTTTTCACAACAAATAAAGTAGAGTGTGTAGTCAGTGACATTTTTTAGTTGGCAGTTTATTTGACTAAATTTAAGTGATCTAGTTTGAAACACTAAGACAAAAATGATCTTCTTCCCATTCCCTTTGAGTTAGCATCATCACAGCTGACTACCAGATACAATCTTATTTTACCTAGGTTTTCAAATAGTTATTTCTCTTTAGTGCTTTATTCATAATCATCCTTTTTCAGAAGTTTCTTAAATCTCTGGTCTTGCCCATTAGTTAATTCAGAATTAGGAATAAAGAAATAAACATTCTTCTTTGTGGAATTCTAAGTTAATTCTTTCTGGTTTGGATGTGCTGCTTCTGTTTTCAAATACCTTGCCTCTCAGTTAATCTTTGATAAGCAATTTCCCAACTCTTTTTCTTAATCCCTTCAAAGTGGCTTTGCAAAGTCACATTAGCACTGTAGTCATACATTGGAGCAGTTCTGTCTTCCTCTCCTTCTAGTATATATGTTCTTTGTTATGATGTACTCTGTCACCTATTCTTTCCAGTAAAACTTAAAAAAAAATTTTTTTTGTCTTATGTGCTTTAAAATGTTTATTGGAAGCTTTCTACATACCACGTCAACTTCCCAATATTAAAATTAAATTTTTGAATTAAAATCATGATGGTAGGATGTTAGAGGGATGTTTCATCTCTTCACTATATAACTGAACTTTGAAAACTTGACCTCAGTTTTTAATGGACCTTCTAAACCAAATGATTTGGCAAAGATTCTACTCATTGCTCCTTCATACACACTGTTTTCAAATCATGCCCTTCCCAACCCACCCAGCAATGTTTAAAAATAAAAAATACTGTTTTACTCAAAGTACTTCAAGATGAGACAGATAAAAACTGTTAAGATTTTTGTACAAAAAAGAATCCTTCAGCTACATGACAGGCTGGACTGCTATTACTCTCACTAGAAAGGCACCGCAGGCTCTCCCGTTTCCAGTCGCTGAGCTGACACTAATATTAAGAATACAGGGCTGGCCGGTTAGCTCAGTTGGTTAGAGCACAGTGTTGAGAACACCAATGTCAAGGGTTCAGATCCCCTTACCAGCCAGCTACCAAACAAAACAAAATAAAAAAAAAACCAAAACCTAAGTTCTGAGCAGCTTCTGGTCCACAAAACCTTGCTGGAGTCACTGTGGGAAGAAAAGAGGAATAATGGGACAAATTTACCATTCTTAGGGAGCCCTCTGAGGAGATAAGAAATAAACCCAGACATAGCCGCAAACCCAGAGGTAGAATCAAGTAGATATATCATAATTTTAAGAATACAGCGTATTATTGGAATCTGCATGTTGTCTCTGTGTGTGGAGTGATGTGATCTCCTCTGCTTTTGTGTTGCTTTGTTTGCATATGTAGTGTTATTGTGTGTGCTTTTAAAAATTGTGTTATAAGTGTGTGAATTTAGACTCCCTCCAAAAGACATAATCTGGACATAAGGGTGAAGTGTACCACTTGCCTTCTCTCTCTAGGCCTTGCTACCGGAGCAGCGAGCAGTGCATGCAGATTCCTACAGAAGGATTGGGCACCTGTGAAAACTGGGCTGCTATTGATGGCATTTCTTACCATGGCAGACACTCAGATGCACATCCCCCTGCATGCACACACCACACAAACATAGGGACATAAACTGAGAAATGTCACAATCAAGTGCTCTTTTAAATTATTTTATTATTACTATTTTTACTGTTAAGCCTTTGCAGTATTATTTCTCTTATTTATTTATGTAGAAATGACAGATTTTGTGAATCAAATTCACAAACTTCAGCTTGTTACCAATTATTTTATTTATGCCATTTAAAGTGTAAGGATTTAAGATTCTTGAAAGGATGTATTCTATATTTTCTCATTCCATATGTTGTAACTATTTTTAACAAAAGGTACTAATTTTATATATGGAATTTGAAGAAAATCAGGGTTATTTATACTGCTTTGTATAATATGTACAATACTTTTTGACAGGAAAAAGGAAACTTTAGATGAAACAATAAAGTAAGTTTTAAATATATGACTGCCTTTGTTTTTCCTGTTTTTCCACTCTTTTGCCATATTCCGTGTTCTTCGAATGATCTGTTACTGCTGTTTTTGGTAGTCTGTGTTTTGTTTCTTTAGGCAAGTGGAAATCAGGCATTTTTCATTTGTGTTGGGAACTTTAAAAACCCGTTATATTTGAATGTAGGCCTTTTTAAAAACTAGATGTTCTGATGCTCAATTTCTTGAAATTTACTTTCTGCATTAGACTTTTGCCTACTATAATTTTCATCTTCAGGGTAGTCACATGGTTTAGTTGTTTCTTTTATGATTAAGTGCTATTATTTAATTTCCAAACAAATGTTGGCTTTTGACTCATGCTGGGACATTCTATGTGTTTTTTAAAAGTATGCCTTTTTAAGAATATTTTGAAGTGCCATCAGCTATGTGCCTGAACTTTGCTTAAACATTTGAAGCACCTTTTGAAATCTGAAATTCCTTCTGTGGACATTTTGGTGGGCTGCAAGGGGAAGCGGGGGGCAGTCAGTTGTACTCTAATCTCTCTCTAGGTCTCTCTGCTTTCCAAAACCGAAGTACTCCTTAACCCATCACTGTCATATGAGAAGAGGAGGAAAAGCCAGGGCTCTTTTAGTTGTTTGTGGAAAGAAATTCTTAACTTTCAATCTGCTTTGATGATAAACCCATCCTCCAATCCAGATGTTTGCTTCACATTGACAAGTCAAATTAGGAAACAGATGACTAAAATAACTAGCAGGAAGAGGCTGATTATTATGAAGAAAGAAACACTACACCCTCACAGTAGACAGCCATTTTAAAGGAAAAACAGACATGCATACTGCAAGCTGCTTGGAAACAACCCTGAATAAATTCAGCATTTGTTTTGTTGACGAGAGGTCCACAGGACTGCAAAGACTCAAATCACAGGGGGCTGGCCAGTTAGCTCAGTTGGTTAGAGCATGATGTTATAACACCAAAGTCAAGGGTTAGGATCCCCAGACCGGCCAGGTGCCAACAACAACAAAAAAATGAAATGAAGTCACAAATCTCAACTCAATTCCTCAATTGTATATTTTGGAAAAGAGAAAAAAGACCCAAACCACAGATGGAAGGTTGATAACCATCTTTTAATTTACTCTGGATACCCAGTCTACACAGGTATAAATGATGGGTTTTAAGAATTTTTGCTTTGTATCAGGGGATGATGGTAACACAGGTAAGAGTCTTTTTATTTTATTTTTTTTATCTTTGATTCTTTCTTTAATAGGGTTACTTTTCTAACATGTGCAAACCCATGCAGTGCTCAGACTCCTATTTCATCAGAAATCCATCCTTCTTGTTACAAAAGCAAAACATTTCCTGTCCTTTCTCCAGGCTTTTTGTGGGAAAATAAACTACTAGTGTTTTGTTTTCAATGCGGCATGATTTTCAAATGATACACTTTTTTTTTTCCTTCCTTCAGGGGAACCAGGAACAACTGGTAACCGTCATGGAGGAGCGGATGATGGAAGTTGAACAGAAACTGAAACTGGTGAAAAGGCTTCTTCAGGAGAAAGTGAATCAGCTCAAAGAACAAGTGAGCCTCCCGGGTCACCTCTGTCCACCCACCTCCCATCCCAGTTTTAACTGCAGTTTTACATCCCGTCATTGTCATTAACTTGTTAACTTGTGTTGTCTAATAAAGGCAAATTCTACTATAAATGTCAAGAAGAAAGAAGAACTCAGGATTCGCTCTCCCTCACACCACTCCAGAAATATGAATTCCGTTTTCTACATTATTTTTCCAAAGCTCTTTTAAGGCATATGTTTGTCCACAATGAAAAATATGTACATTTGCTAACAGTGATTCACATGGATGCATTTCTAATGAAGTTCAGTAGCTCAAATTGAATATTTATAGATTTTCTTTTCTGCCCAATACAGGAAATGTTCATACTTAAATAAATGGAGAAATTATATTGGTAAAAAATTGGGGGTGATAAATGGGACTTCCGCTTTTTCTATTCCCAATAGCATGTGACAACCTCAAAAAGTACTTTATTGTTATAGCCAGTCCCCAAAAGGATATGCTTTGAATTAGTCAGAACCCCAAATTCCAGGACCACTAAGCAGCCTGATTCTTCTCACTTGCTGTGGAAGATGTGGCCTCAGTGTTTAGAAATTAGTTGTGCATTCACCGAAGAGAAGTGCAGAGGACTACCTTCTAGGAGAATGTTTATAGCTTCTCTGGAAATTGATATTGGGATGAACTGGTGGTGTGGGAGGCAGAAATTGCCCAGCCTGGTTTTCTAGATACATAAAACCTAAGAATAGTAATCCCCAGAGAGGGTCTGAATGCAGATGTAGACAGGAACTTTCCTTTGCCCTATGTCTTAATACACAGGAGAAGAAAGAGAAAGTCCTGTTCAGTAAGCATTTATGAATTCAATCCTTTAAGTATTCTTTCATTCAACACATAGTTACTATGTGCCAGGTCCTGTTCTAGGCACTAGAGATATAGCTGTGAACAAAACCAAGTCCCTGCCCATATGGAATGTAAATTCTAGTACACCTACAAGGAGCTGAATATTCGGCCAGGTGGTAGATTCAAAAGTAAATAAAATAGGGTCTGTCCCACTTTCAGTAGAGGGGAACACAGGAGAAGAGACAGTTGATCCAACCCGGGGTTTAAAGACAGAAGTATTCGGCCAGGTGGTAGATTCAAAAGTAAATAAAATAGGGTCTGTCCTACTTTCAGTAGAGGGGAACACAGGAGAAGAGACAGTTGATCCAACCCGGGGTTTAAAGACAGCTTCCTGAAGCCCTCTTAAACCGAATCTTGAGGGTTTAGTAAGATTTGAACAGGCAAAGAAATGTGGGAAGGACATTCTAGGCTGTGGGAACATCATGGAGTTATGACAACATATAGGGTGTGGACATATAAACACTTCAGCATTTCCAGTTCATACTGTCCTGGGAGACTAGAGAGGAAGGAAGGAGCTGGGGGGTAGATGGCCTCGCGTGCCGAGCCAAGGAGTTTGAATTTTATTCTGTAGATGATGAAGAGCCATTGAAGTGATTTTTTAATGAAAGGAAGGGAGAGAGGAAGGAAGGAAGGAAAGAAAAGTTGTATTAGAACAACTCAATAGAGTAGGTTCTGAAATGTTATTATGTTACACCTGCCAATCATCTAGGTTCTAGGCTGTGAAGTATTACAATACTTATCACTGCCCTTTGAAATGCTAATAAAATAATTAGCCACTCTTCAGTTATTTTTCATTCCCCCTAAACCTTTATACTTTTAGATGCCCTGCTTGAAATTGGGTGTAAAATGAGGAGTTAAAGGTGTAATGTGGGAAAGGGGATTAGAAGATATCAGCAGGAGCAATAATAAAAGTATCCCAAGGCTGCTAACAAGTTTTTCCATCCCAATATAGACTATATATTCTACCCATAAAGATTAGAATATATGTTTAGACAAGGCCACATGCCAAAAAGGAAGAGTTAGGAAAAGTAACTGCCCAAATCTTCTCTCTCTGTTGTAATCCATGAGCCAATTTTTAAAATAATCAGTAGGCTGTAGTTATGAATGGAAAGCTCAAGTACCTGCTAAGTGCAGAGTTAAACACAGTTCATACATTACAGCTCGGAAATTTATAAATCTATTTTGATATTTTTAGAGAATGAAGGATTAACATCTAATATCAAGGTGGGAAAAACACCTTCATTTTGGAGCCCTCAAATATCAATCTTTTTTTTTTTTATTAGTAAATTCTACCAACATATTGCACAAAGAAAAAGCTTGGAAAAAAGTAGATTTGCTCCACTTGTATCCCTGATGCCAATCTGATATTAAAGCTGTAGTGTGAAATAAAAGAATATAATTGGTGGAAGCAATTTGCCTTTATAAAACAACAGTCCTTATGTCAGATCCTAAACTTGAAGAAATACAGAAATGGAGTCAAGATGTTTCTGGTTCTATTTCTAGCTCTGCAAGAATACTAAGGCAGATGCAATGGTGAAGGATTTGTATGTTGAAAATGCCCAGTTGCTGAAAGCTCTGGAAATGACTGAACAGCGACAGAAAACAGCAGAGAAGAAAAATTACCTCCTAGAAGAGAAGATTGCCAGCCTCAGTAACATAGTCAGGAATCTGACACCAGCGCCATTGACTTCGACACCTCCTTTGAGGTCATAGCCAAACCAAAGGATATGCTCATTTGTGCACTTTACTGAAATAGATGGAATATTTAAGTAGGTTCTCTCAACCTTTTTTTTTTAACCTTTAATGGCTTAAAATTAAAATTAAGCCTCAAAACGGCCAGCAACAGAACTGGAGTCTCCATTCATTGTAATTAGTTTCTCTAAACAGACTCTTATGGGAGTTTCAAACAAATATTCACACATTTCACTGTGTAAATTATTCTCAAGCTTTGAATTTATTTTTAAGTATTCCACTTATAGCCGCCAAGAAAGTAGGTATATGAAAATAATTCAAGAACCTTAAAATCTCAGTTGTGAATGAATTTTTTAAAAAATCACTATTATGTACAAATCTGTGTGTGAAGTCCAGATATTTTAAGTTTGAGATCTGATTATAATGGTTGTTATGAACTTTATTTTAAAACCAAATTTAAGTGTTCTTACACATTTAAAAACTGGAAAGTCATTCTGTTTGTAGTAGCTTTGTTTCTTTGAATTAATTGGTAGAATGAATTAATTGGTAGATTGTAATTCTGTTTGATAAGGGGGCTGGGCTTAATAACCACTGAGGTCAGAAAAGCCCGAGTCAATAGAACTCTCTGCCTTCTGATGCCTATGACAGTATGACCGCTCTTGATGTATTAGAGATTTAGAAGTGATTTACTCAGCTGCAGTCTTCACTAATGTTAAAAGCTTTCTTTAAACTGCCTTTTTCTTCAACCTCTTGGAAGTTTCATTTGGGAGCTTCTCCTCTGAGAAATGGATGAAGCCACGTTCTTAAATTTAGCATTTGAACTATAGGGAAAGCACTGAACAAACCATTTTGGAGTCCTCAGCTACTCTTGGAAGAGGGATAAGCAGATCATGTGGGTTTCCCCATCTCTAATGTCTTGAAATTCATGAGTTTACCTTTGGGGTTGCCTCAAGAACTCAGGGAACAATACAGTAAACTGTCTTCCTGAACTACTGTAGGTCCTAAGAATTTGAAATGTGTAAACCATGTGACCTTATTTATTTGTCTTAAATATTTACAGCCATAGTAGAATTTTTATTTCTACTTTTTAAAATTCAATCTTCTGAAAAAAGGCCTTGATTTTAGTGTTAAAAACTTCTAACTTATGGAAGAGTTTTTATTGTCTGTTTAATGTAGGTCAAAATTTCCATGCTTCATACTCCTTCTGTGCCTCAGATCTGATCATGAGAATTCCTTTCTGTGATAAGCACTGGCATGCCATCTGAGGTAAAGGAGTGCCAAACCGGACTTTGCATTCATTCTCTAGATCAGAACTTTACAGAACAATAAACATTTTAGATTGAGTAAACTTTTTGCCCTCTCCAATTAAAGTCGCTGCTTCTAGCCTACTTCTGCCAGCAGTTGGTGGACAGCTTACTAGGTGCAGGACGTCACCAGAGCGCAACACAGCCACCTGCTTATTTTTGTGGGAGAGTAATTAAACTAGAAAAATTCACTTTGATGTATGCCAGAAGGGCCAAGCCCATCTATTTACAAGAGATAACAGCAAAATCAAACACTGCTTTATAAGCAGAAACACAGATAAAGCAAACTGCCTCCAAAGTCATATAATGTCAGAAACTCAATCTCAACAAAATAATTTCCATCAAAGAACTTCAGGGTTCTTCAGGGCCTAACCATGGACTGTTAGTCTCAACTGCCCACCCAGAAGTTCTCACTGCAAGTGCCCTGACATGGCTCTGTCATTCGTGGGACTGAAAGTTCATAACAACAAAGCAGACTTTTTAATTTTTGCATGGCTCTTATTAAAAAGTTCTGATTTCTCCTGGAAAAATTATAGTCCTTCTCTATAACTGTACTTCAAAATATTTGACATCGACTATCATGCTTTGCTAAATCTTTTTTTCTCAAGTGCAGACATTCTTAGTAAACTCTACTTGTATGGCATTGGCTTTAACAGAACATTTTTTTCACTTAAAACTGTGGATAGGCCTAGGCTAAGGTCAGAAATACCTCTATAACTGTACTTCGAAATATTTGACATCGACTATCATGCTTTGCTAAATCTTTTTTTCTCAAGTGCAGACATTCTTAGTAAACTCTACTTGTATGGCATTAGCTTTAACAGAACATTTTTTTCACTTAAAACTGTGGATAGGCCTAGGCTAAGGTCAGAAATAAACTAAGCATCTGTGTTCTACTTATTTGATATGCTTCAAGTTACTCAAGGTTATTGCTATTGGAACTGAACACCAACATATCTCTCAAGTAGCTGGTTTAGCATGTAATCCCATTTGTGTATTTTTTATTTTTATTTTTTACATTACGTGTAGGTTAATTTGTTTATTTCCTATAAACTTGTATTTATGTGTATATAAAATGCTGTACAATGAATGTAAATATGACTTTCTGGAAAGTTTTAGACTACATTTAGAATCCCTTTATCCAAAATCAAAATGCTGCTCAAATGAAAGTTAATTTGACCGACATCTAGGTGCTTAATTTCTTGGTTTATCCACTTATGAGACTGGAAAAAAATATTAATATGAGAAATACATAGATACCTTAAATTTGTACATTTGTGCAACACTATTTTTGAGAAAGTTTAGAGTGGGAATTTAACTGGCAATGTATAGTATAGCTCACAGCTTTTAAAAGACCTTTTAAAGAGATTAAATATAAACTGTTAAAATTATATGTTTAGATTTTGTTTTCAGATTTTATAATAAAACACTTTAAAAAATCACAAGTTATATATTATTTTATAGGCCTTTAGCTTGTTAATTAAAAGCACTGGATTTTAAAGTTTCCTTTGATTTAAGAACAATTATTTAAAATAGTCCTAGAAGACAGGATCTTCATTTCTAGGAAAGGTAAACAAGTCTGCTTTTTTGATAATGATATGTTACACTAAGAAAAGGAAAATGTGGATAGTAAAATCTACATTATCCTATTTTGCTTTCTTCTGCTTTTTAGAAGTCTGAATTCTTAAGTTCAAATTTGTAAAGAGAGAGAAGTAGAAGGGGTGGGGCAGTATTTTGTTTTATTTATTTTTCTAAAACTCTTACTAAATCCAAATTTTAAAAGCTGTTTTAAATATGAATCCTTCCCAGCACCTTCAATATATTGCTTATATATTTAACCTTCAGCATATTTTACATAATAGATCACGAAGTCAAAGGCTTTCAAGATATAGGAAGAGATCTTACAGGTCTAGTATTTTAATAATATACCAATACCGAAGGCAGGTATTATTATGAGGATTTTTTTTTTTTTTAAGAATGAATAAGGCTTTATGGAGGACTTTTGTTTTTTTAACATGTGAGAAATGAATTTGTGATTTTTGCCGAGTGAAGGAAGAGAGAAAAGTGTTGCTACTGTTAGCATCTGAAAGGTATTCCCAATCAAGGCAAGGCTTAGTGCTTTGTAACAGTATTAAGCAAGTCCTGCTTTGAATGGATTACCTGTAATGACTAATTGGAATGATATAATTATACAAGTAATTCCAAAAAGCAAGTCAAAGCCTAATATCCAAAGCACTCATATTTAAAATTTATTCATTATATCATGTTTGGCCTATTTATCTCAGCACTGTAAAATAGTTTGGTTTTATGGCATATGGGTAGCTGTTTAATAATGAATGAAAGTTAGCTTTTTCCTTCTCAGCTTTTTTGAATCATACAAGTTCAATTCATTCTGACTGGGGAGACATTACCACAGTATGATTTAGGGGTTTTGTGAAAGAAAACTTGAGTTCATCTAAAGCCATCTCTAGAATTCTATTCAGATAAAGATTTATGTGTTTTTATCAGCTTTGTATATTTTATCTTAACGAGTCTTTCCTAGAGAGATTTTAATGGGAGCTTAAAATGTAAATAAATAATTTTGCAAACATGCCTCTTGTTTTCCATATACCATTAAATTATATAAACAGTTTTGGTGTCTATCATTGGTCTTTATAAAGTGAAAGCCTCAAAATAATGCACTAAACAAATTCTACAAATGCAGAATCTCTGTCCCCACTCCAGACCTACTAAATCAGAATCTTCCTTTTATCCCCATGTGATTTGGATGTGGTTTAGAGCACTGGGACTCCATAAAAGATCCCCAAGTGATTTGGATGTGGTTTAGAGCACTGGGACTCCATTCCTGTCAAAGAATTGATGACTTTTATCCCCATGTGATTTGGATGTGGTTTAGAGCACTGGGACTCCATTCCTGTCAAAGAATTGATGACTTTTACTACACCCAGTTTGGGAACTCTCTACACTGTGGCAGTACATAATTTATCTGCAGAATCCTAACTCAACCTCAGCCAAAGGCCTGCTTGGGATGATTTGGGGTGCTTCAGAGGTGGCTTTATTTTACTTGCCATCTTTATGGGTGGTTCAGACTTTATTGAGTTCCTCGTTAATAATGAGATATATCCAGTTAGAGAGACACAAAAAATTCACCTGAAAGCACGTTAATAATGGTGAATGCTGAAATATAGAATGGAAATGATGGCCAAACTAGACCCATCTCTTGAGCCCTGTTTTATTTATTTTCAAAACTTTTATACCAACCTCACACAAGGCAGGAACTATTATTATCCCCATTTTACTGATAGGAAAACCGAAGCTTAGCAAAGTTGTGATTGCCTCAAGGCCACACTGTCAGCTAAGAAGGAGACTCAGGACTTGAGGCCCAGGTTTGTCTGTTAATATTGTTGCAACAGTTGTATCAATTTCTATTTCTGGCCGAGCATTTAATCAGTGTTGACTGAATAGCTACTATGAACACTACTCTGAAGACAAATATAAAACATTCCTGCAATCTGATTGGGGAAGAGTGGTAAGATTTATGCACAAAAAAATAAAAACATATCCATACAGAAGATAATCAAGTTTTGTCAATGGACTCAGAGCTGAGTACCGAAATAAGGAAGATGAATGTCCTTAAGTATTTTAATGTAGGAAATGGGGAAGGTCCTTAATCTAGCATTAAATGTAATTTTGTACTTCACTGAGATTAGTGTCACCTGTTTGTTTTGTAGCCTCGTTTATTCGACACTCAAAGAGTAATATTTTTCTTCTAATATATACGTGATGTCTATTTTCCCATAATGGTTACATTTGGGCCATAAGCGCAGAATTCTGACCTAAATTATGCAAAATGTCTGTAATATGTTGATTAAAAAGTTAAATTTCATCCAGATAAAATGTCATACGTCACAAAAGTGGTTTTTTATTCACTGGTTGCCTCAAATCAAGAGAAATAGCTAGTTTTGACAAATGGACATTTATAAAAATATCTAAAAAAGTTAAAATTCACAGAGAACTATAAAACTCAATCTGAAATATTGTAAAGAATAGGCAACAATGTAAAATAGAACTGGATACCCTTATGTTAAAATAATATTTAATTCCAAGAAATGATTACATGGGGTAGACTTCACTAGTTAAGGCAAGCAAAGTAGGCAACAGTCCTTACAGCCCAGTCGAGTGTTTACTAATCATTTTTCTTTCCTATTTGGAGGCACATCTGTTTCCAAAATCTCAAGCAATCAATAAGCACCAATCCTATGCCAGGCACTAAGGGGTTAGCCTGTATTAAAATGCTATGAACAATAAGAGAGACTATTCAAAAGTGCCAATGTCATAAAGAGATAAGAAAAAAAAGCTGTGGAACTGTGCTAAATTAAAAGAAACTAAGTAGACCTGCCAACTAAATATCGTACCTAATCCTAGACTGAATTCTATACTGGAGAAGAAAGTATGCTATGAAGAACGTTACTGGGTTAATTGACAAAAATTGGAATATGGATGGGAGATTAGAAAACAGTATTAATGTGAAAATTACTGAAGTTGATAACTACTGTGTTTATGTAAGAGTATATTCTAAGGAAACACACTGAAGTATTTAGGGATAAAGACCATGATACATGCAACTTAATCTCAAATGATTCAGAAACAACCAAACTACTTACACACAGAGAGAGAACAAATAACACATCAATGGAGGAAAATGTTTTTTAAAATAGGTTACAGTAGTGCTAGACATCTATAATTGACAATTTACTGTATGTTTTCAAATGGCTAGAAGCAAGCTCAAATGTTCTCATCACAAAGAAATGATAAATTTTTGCAATGATGGATGTGCTAATTGCCCTGATGTGATCATTACACACTGAATACATGTATTGAAATATAACTCTGTACCCAATAAATATGTACAATTAATATGTCAATTATAAAAATAGATAATTAAATAAGGAAAATCCAAGTTAATAGGTTAATCCAAGTAAAGGCTATGCAATTATTACTTTTATTATTCTTATTCTTTCTGTAAATTTGAAATTATTTCTAAATAAAATATTTTAATATTAAAATAATATTATTTCCAAATAAAACATTTTAAGTGTTGTGGATAAAAATGTATTAAATGTGGTGCAAAGCACTTTAACCTTTCTTCCCCTCAAAGCTACTATGAAGAATAGATGGTATTCCCATGGTAGAAAAGAGGAAACTGACTAGAAACCATTTATGGCAGAGTATTTATATGCCCATGGTCTATTGTGAAAAGTTCTGCATACTCAGACTTTTTATATATATATATATATATATATATATATATTTCTCCGGAAATATGGAAAATGGGAAGACATGGGGAGATTGAGGCAGCTGGCAGAAGAGGTACAAGCTAAAAGGAAGCATCAGGTCAGGGGAGGGGGGCGTTAAGGAAACGAGTCATACAAATACAAAAATGACCATGATGGAGCAGTACATAAAGGACCAGTGGGAACTCCAGATATTTCTAGAAAGCAGTGCCTCTACCTCTACTTCTACATTTGATAACAAACAACTATTACTTCTCCTGAGGTAAAAGACACTTTGTCCATGTCTACAAATTCTTTTACTCTCCTGCTACCTTAGGAAGAACTTGGTTCAGAGAAACAAATCTGCTCCGGCTAGTTTAAGTAAAAAGGAATTTACTATAAGATACCATATTTGCTTCCTGGGACCAAAGGGCAGGAAAGATAGGCTTCATGAGGAATTAAAACAAGGACCTTTGGTGCTCAAAGGTCCTTCAATTTTCCTTCAATCTCTCTATCCCCATCTAGCTCTCATTACCTGATCTCTTGTTTCTGCTTCTTTGCACCTGTTTCTCTGCACCTTTTTCTTTGGCAGGTTTTGTTTGCTTTCTCCTGCGTTATAGCATGCTCCTATTCAAGTATCAAGTAGGGTCCAACAATTACTTCCAAGACCCAATTCTAGATTTGTAAAGAATCTGATGACCAGGCAGGGTCTTTCCATAACCCCATTGACTATGGCCAGCAGGGGTCAGGGTGTTGGGGTACAAGCTGCAGAAGTCCACCACATAAGAGTACTATCACAGGTAAGAGGTTAGAGTGGTTAGTGAAGGAGATTTGGGGTTAAACCCCTAAAGATATGTAGACAGTAGATAAAAATGGTTTAAAAGGTAGGATTTTGAAGACATTGTCCTCACATTTTCTTGCAAGTGCAATGCCTATTAAAAAATAAACACCATTTTAAATGCTGTCTAGCGACAAATGCAATCACTCATTTCAGCACTGTTTTTCATGTTATTCCTTCTTTTGTCCTTGCTCCCTCCCCGCCTTTGTCCTGATTCCTATATATTCTCTAGATATCACACATAAAACTGTATCAGGGTGTCCATCCACTTCACAGTGGGTATAATAAATGCCACCCACCATATCCTACTCAATCAGCACAATACAGCAGCAACTTTTTAAAAATAATGCCAGTGAAGGCAAAAATTAAAGGTCTTTTAAAATAATGTAAAGTAGATTTAAATGTTGTATTAAGGCTATGCATAAATAAAAGAAATTCTACTGAACTTTTTCAAGATATCTTCCCTTACCCTGAAAAGCTGGTGTAGGAGCCTCTCCTTTGTGCTCACATAAGCACCCTGTGCGTTCCCAGTTGAAGCAGGTACCACTCTGTGGAACTGCTTCCTGACTTGTCTGATCTCCATTAGACTCTAAGATCTTTCAGGACAAGAACTGGTGTCTTATACACCATGGTTTTATTCTTAATTTCAAACTTGATGCCTGAAGCAAAATTGGTGCTCAATTAATATTGTAGGGATGGAAGACTGTACATTTCTATTTTGAGTTTGTGTCTTGACATGATTGATTGTTGACAACTGTGTCTAGACATAATGTATGTATGTATGTATATATGTATCCATTTATTTTGGCAGCTGGATGGTACAGGGATTTAATCCTGGACCTCAGTATTAGCAGCACCACACTCTAACCAACTGAGCTAACCAGTTAACTCCTAGTCATGATTTAAGTGTCCTACAGTAAGTTTTTACCCACCTGATTAAACCTTATGATCCAATGATACAAGAAGACTGTCACTATCCACCACTCTTTATTTCTATTCTATTGCTCATGCTATCAGAAAAAAAAAGCACTAAAAGCAAAGTAAAGATTACCCAAAATTCTACCACCTGGTGGTAACCACTGTTAACATTTTGGTGAACTCTCTTCCAGGGATAATTTTATGCTTACATATGGGCACACATGTACACATTCATTCACATATAAGTGTATGTAAATGACAGCATACACATACATGTATATAAGCATATATATATATACACACACATACATAGTCTGCTTTGCAACTCTCATATGAAATGTCACATTTTCCTTAATCGATATAAATCTGGCTTTAAGTCCCTCACTCTGGCGTTAGTGGGCTGTCTGATATTGATTGTGATGGATGGTCCTCTTCCTCTTTAAGACTGTGCAAGAATCTCATCTGTTGACTTTTTGGCTACTATCCCCTTTTTCTCCCATTTATTGAAGAGTTTAGCACCTGGACCATTATCTTCTTGACAATTATTCCTGTCATTATTCTTGG